ATCCTTGTACAATGTTGAAATGCCAATTACGTTTTGTGACAAGATTTCATTATCCCAAAATACATTACAAATATCAAGGAATAAGAGATCCTTTAGACCCTGCCCACTTCGTCAAAAAATACAGAATGAAATGGCAATTTCAAACTTAAGAGAGCCCTTTATAAACCTAAATAAAATAATGAAACATCGCGAACTGAGCTCATCGCTCATTCAGAAGTTACGCAGACTGGAAAGCCTGAAAAACAAGTCAGTGCTTTTAAAAGAATAGATTCGGATAACAATTATAATTCTACAATTATTGGAGTGAAAGTTTCCAGAAGCTAAAATTAAATCTCAAGATGGAGATAGAAAACAATTATTACCTAAGACAGGAAAGCTTTATCGCGAATTCATAGCGTAATGAAGCGGCAAGCAAGAGGCAACTTTTTACCACGGAGTTAAATTAGTTTTTCATAGCTCGTACAACACCCAATGTTATAACTCCGTCCTTAATTACAACGGCCCTTTGTCTTATCTTCGCATGTGAGTAATTAATTACATTTGGTAATTAATTTACTCATAATGGTGGAGTATCGTTGTTGCGAAATAATTAAGCCATTTGTTAATTAAAACTCCCAAGTTATGACGTAATAGGCTAGCTCACTAAATTATTGTTGTAAGTTTATTTTCGATGGAATAACTTTATTTTGATTTAAATTGGCTTTCATATTTAGTTGAATTCCGTGGCATAATAGTTTAGAGGGTACTTTGAGTAAATTGAATTCGAAGTTTGATTTCTGATCACGCCATTCATGAAATGAGCTTATCTAAGTTATCTTAGTTTCAAATGTTATTTTAATTTGTTTTGAAATGAAAAAGAAAATCGTTCAACAACCCGGTTACAATAGAGGATTTTTTCTTCTTTCGTAACCAAATATTCAATTTGGTTACTAAAACGGAACAAGTTATTATCGAACAGGATAATCAATAATGTCGATAAGAAGGAACTAACATCGAAGTATCCACACTAAACAATCACTGAGTGCAACAACAAACAAGAGTGCGAAATGTTTCGAACAGTTTACGGTTAGTTGCGCTCAACTTACAACGTAGCTGTGCTGTAGCAGTACTGAACTTTGACAACTTGCATATAACCTTTTAGCACATTTTATCGCAAATAAATCACTTCTGACTATGCACTTATAAACGCTCCGGTATGCCACACTTTAACCGACTTGAGATAAAGGGATCCTCAATTCGATTTTTAGTTATATTCGAAATTTACGGATTTATTTTCCGAAATTTAAGATTTTAATTTTATGTAAATTTAATACGAATATATACTGATTTCTTCGAAAGATGGACTTTTGAAATTTACATTTTTGTATATATTATGAGACCTTTCATTTATTTTTCTGTTTTATAAAAAACGTCTTAAATTACTGACAACGTCAAACAATATCGTCAAACTTGATACGGAACCCGTCTCTTAATAAAGCGTTATCAAATTTACCTTTTAATTATATTGCGTCTTTCCGCGTTCAAATATCCAATTTATTTTACATTGAGCACCCCTTTTCCACGTAAAAACAACGCTCTGAAAGTAGCATTTCACAATTTTGATGAGTCGCAGATAAAATAATGCATTAAAAATAAATAAAAAACCGGGACTACGGTGTGGAGAACGCGCCTTGCGGATTACGCTTATACTTGTAAATATTTATGTTTTTTTTTTTGAGATTTAACCACTTCAGAAAGGTATTCAACTTTATTTTTAATATATTATGTGATGTCTTCACATGTGATGATTCTGATTTTAATGAAAAAGTCACATATTAAGTAGTTCGTTTCAGTTTTTACGCAATGTGAAACGCCAAACAAACCGACGGCCCTAATTATGAAAAATTATAATACACTGTGGACCCATAACACCTCCCATTCATTGCCATTCCTGAGGACTAAGAATGTATCTTGAGCAGGATACACCATAGATACTTGTACCATCTAGATATTTTTTATCTATGTTAATTTCCCCGTCTTTGTACAAATCTATATTAAAATTCAACGTGCTGAAATAGACGAATCTTTAGCCGAATAGGATTTCATAACGGATCCCTTAAAATCAGAACGATGTGTATTGAACATGAACAACCCATTTTAAAAAGTGAAAGAGGATCAGGAAATTTAAATGTACATCCATATAAATACATTTGATTTAAATATTCAAGTCCGTAACGTAGGTAGGTGGGTAAATATATGTAGGTACTCAATTATGGAGAGACAGAAACAAGAGGTGTGACAGAAATGTGTAACACGTTAAGTTATAAACAGAGGGCTTACCATGAAATGTTTTCCGAAATTTCGGGACCAAACGAAACACCAATTTGATGTTAACATTACATGGAACATACCGTTTAAAAATATTAAAAATATCAAATATCATTCCTTTGAACTTTTATGGTTTAATTTATGAAAAACAAACTTTTAAGCTCCATTTACTGGGTCTATTTCACTATGAACAAAAACACGAAATTGAGTTCGAATATTAGGAATTTTATTTCATGGTAGACCCTCAGGTAGCAGTTAAATAATGGAACCTAATCTTTCCCCTCCATGAACTATTGTTAACTAGCTATTTTCAGAGGCTTTTATAAGTATCATATATTTTTGTAAGTATATATATATTCAGCTTTAAGCTAACACACATTGTTTTTCTTTACGTACATATAAATATATTTCCTAGTATCGAAAAGAAACTACTTATGCATTTTTATTTTTAAAATAACATACAATTTACATGAAAAGGTTTTGTTGAAAGAAATCTCTTATTAGAGATAAGCTCGCCTTTGTACATTATGTTTCAAATGAATTGTGGTTAACATTATATTTTGTGTATAATAAAGAATAAAGTATATGCAACTTTACCAGTCACAAAACTTATTTTCATCAATTAACGTTTGGTTCTGTTATAAACCAATTTTAATCATTTTTCACATTTAATCACAAGATTTTACATCTATTAATTTTGTCAAGAATGATAACTAATTTAAGAACAGAATATTAAATTAGTATTGTTAATGTTACCGTAGTCTATGAACGTTAAGATATATTTATTTATTTATTTTACACTTTATTGCATCAAGTAAAAAGAAAAATAACAAATACAGTAAATATTAATGAGGAGTGATACAAAAGGCGGTTTATATAATTAAATATAAACCTTTGAAATATTATAAATAAAATTATATAATAATATTACGAAATAGTATCCCGACTTCCAAGAGAGGCTCGTTAAGTCAGTGAACAAACTACCTAACGTTTTTTCGCTAACTTCTCAAGAGATTTCGCCAATTCCGCAAAAAGTCGCTAACGAGTGCCTTAATTCCGCCAGAAGTTAGCCTTCGTGGCGTCAGTCTCAATTAACTGTTGTTTGAACAGCCATGGACGTACACAACTAGGTGGCGCTACTGGCAAACTACTTCGGCTGTGTTCACTAGCTGATGATGAACATCGTAAATATGATAACCAGTGCATATTACTTGATAATAGTAACGGAGTGCAAAGTTCTCAACAAAAAATACCAGAGGGAGACTTTGTACAAAAATCGTTTGATTGGGCACCTCTGTACCATTCGTGTTTCTACCGAGAAGTAGTTGTGTTTGCATGGCTATTTCGGAATAATACCTGAGTCCTCAGGAATGGCAACGTATGAGGGGTATCATGGGCGAAACAGTATACTCTGTTATGTCCATGGTACTGCTATGATACTACTTTCCATCAGGTGGACCCCCAGCTCGTTTCTCATTGCATAAAATAAATACAGTATCTTAATACTCGTAAACGTAACGTATTCCTTATAACTGGTGTCAATATTCATTAATAAGGTCTTAAAAAGTTTATATCAACGACACTTCATAATAATAATATCTTGTATTGTATAAAGCTGTCGGTACAGATACAGGTTGTCCTTGTTTTCGAGATTTTTTTATAATATTTTTGTAACAAAAAAATATATTCTAGAAAAATATTTTTTTTAAAACCCTGTTAATGAACACCAACGCCACTTTTAAGGAATGAATTACTTTGACGTAATTGATTCCTTAATTAATTAATTAACATACTACCTACATATAACCCATAACCTTTGAAACAGATACCGTTAAAGTACCTACCTTACAGTACAGTTTAAAAGCTAAGGCAACGTTATTATTTAATAAGAAAAAATAGCGTTGAAAATCTTGAAGCTTACTCAATTATTTATGTCATAAATACAACCTCGTATCAGTTTAAGGTGATTGACTTAAGTATTATATTTCCTATTTTATGTGTAAAACACGATTTTACCCTGTCAAAGTTATTAACATAATTTAATGAACATATTCACCACTGAAACATGGGTTAAAAAATCACAACACATTTTAAACAACCCATACTAACACGGAGTATATAACTGTTTAGTTGTATGAGAGAGATTTATTTTGTCATTTTTTAATTTTGGTTTACGAAATTTTTACTCTAATATGTTCTATAGCCTATGTTCAACAGTGGACAGATAACGGCTGATATGAATAAATTAATGGCAAATATTCTATAGCATGAGTACATTCATATTTTTATGTACCATTAATGACTTACGTCAATATCGTATTAGTCAATATATATATAATACATAATAGTCAATATCATATATATTATTAGCTACATGATATTGTTGATACCCATAGCTGACGTTTTCCCCATTCCATCGGGTAATCAACATCTTCACCGTTTCCAATTTGTATACAGAACTAAATATAACTTTACATAATATACGTAATATGTCTATATATGTCTATCCTCGGAAATCTAAAACAATATGAACTATTTCAATTGAAAATCATTTCTATGTGTACAGCATTTCATTGATACGTTTAATAGTAATAGTATTGTATTTGTGATAACTCTAAACACTAAACTATCAAAGTTGTAAGCCCACGCGGCACATAGCCATTTAGTTGAGTGACCCAGTTATTTTGTTGCAGAGTGTGCGCAATGTTTCTGCCGGAGTTCGCAAGTTTTGTCGCCGCCATCTTGTTCGCTGTGCATCCCATACACACAGAAGCGGTAAGTGAATTCACTTATTACAGTTTAATAATAACGCAACCCCTCATTACTGGGATATGACCTTCGAATAAACCAGAAGTTTTGGAATAATTGATTAGGGGAGAAAGGTCCTCTACTGTCGACCCCGTACATTAAAACGCAGTATAAGACAATCCACTACTAAAAGGGACAGCCTCGAATGAGTTGTAGGGTGTCAAAAGTTACACGTTGCTCGGGACTGTTCTTTATTTCAGTGTATGGAGGAGAGAAAGTGTAATACTTTTTTGTGTTGACATAATATTTCCTGAATAAAAAATTAATATGAAATATTTGTTCGTTGAAAATTTTAAATACTTTTTTTTCGTGTGTAATGAATGAATAAATTAAAACTCTTCTCATTTCTCTCAAAAATTATACTTCTAAATAAAAATATGTTTATTATTATTATTATTATTTCAGCCGTTAACTATCCATTGCTGAACATAAGGCTTCCCCATAAGGAGAAGTTTGCTAGTAGTGGCAACGCTTGCGGATTAGAAACCACAGTTAGGCGGTTATTATAGTTTGGTGATGTTTTGAGAGGGGCCTTGCTGCCCATTCCTCGATCATTAAGTTCCCTTAGTCGCCTCTTACGACATCCACGGGAAAGGAAGAGGTGGGGCATTCTATGCCGGGAGCACACGGTAATATGTACTCAAAAATTTTTCGTAATATTGAGAAGCAAGATAACATTTTAAACTTTATCGCCGGTTAGCAATCCCTTTCAAATAACCTCAGAATGGTAAAATTCTAAAAGGAGTAATTAAAGTTACGTCTAGTCAAGGCATAATAAAAGACATAATAACACCAAAAAATGCGCTAAAATTAAATTTTACCCTTTGTATAAATATCTTAATTACTTATATTACAAAGGATTTATAGAAACTTTACTTTAATATATAGAGTCACATGTTATATCTATGGTATATTTACCAACAAGGACCGGCATAAATTGCATTTCATGTGGCATAACTAAACCGCAATGGAATTCGAACACGTTTTAATTTCCTGAACGTATTGAAAAACTTTAAACAATTCTCTGAAATGGCAGCTTTTTGTTAATATCTGTCAGCGAACTTAAATATACAAATAGAAATAACACCGAACGTTTTACGCTGACTGACTTTTTAATCACAGTATTTTTATCTTTCTCTTATTTTAAATTTGCCTACCTTTAATTCATTGGGAATAATCGGGATAGCTAGTTTTTATTTTGTGCCTATTATTGGTTTTCATTATTAAAAGTTTGATGGTAAAATAATTTGCTTATTATAATATTTTTTTGTTTTATTATATCACTGACCATTGTTTCTGATTATACTTACTGTATTGCTGACATTCTTGCAATTAACTGTGGAAATACTTTATTATGTATGTATTTAATAAAAAGGAAATAAGATTTATCACACACGTCCTACTGTACATATATTAAATGCACTGTAAATATGGTATACATATTATACTAAATCATTTTAACTAATATTATAAGGAGAAAATACTATCAATTTGTAGATGGATAAACTCAAAAAAAATACTTAACCAATGTTAAAAAAATTATCATCTATAGAAAGCTATATTTTCAACGAATTGGCTCTATGCTATAGGCTATGTTTTATTTAAAAAAACACGACCTAAGCTAAGGCGATTCGCTAATAAAAAATATATAAACTTAATAAAGCATATACAGACAAACAAATAAGTATAACAAAAACGTAACATTGTTATTTATCATGATCACGCTGCTTACTGCTGACTGCCTTTATGTACAGAATGTTTACTGCACATAGTTACTGCAACTACTTCTATAGCATTTTATATAGGGTCGTATAAATCCAACACTAGAGGCCAGGCCACTCTGTCGTCGTTTAACAGCACAATTCCTTTATACGAAAAGTGCTTCTTCGTCGATGTCTCGAATAGCGACACTAAAATTGGATCAGTTTGTTCACGTCCATTGGTCGGGAATTGAAGCAATTGTTTCCTACTGTGAAGCAAATATTTAACTTTATATTACACGTTAACGTACGTATTAGACGAAACGTCTTCCAAGCTTCGACCCAATATAGAAACGTTCTTAAATGCAGCTGCATTTATGAACGTGATAAAATATACAGAATTCGAAATAGAGAATAAAATATAAACATACTAGCTTTTATCCACGGCTTTATCGACGTGATCGGAATATTTTCACTGAACAGGATAAAAAGTGCCCTATGTCCTTCCCCGCCTCAATGATTGATAAAGCCATGAAGATGCTAAGAGGTAACAAACAAACAAAACACCAACTTTTATATTAAGGATAATAAAATAATGTTTATTTTATACTAGGCCTATCACGCAGCATTGCCCGCGCGACTTATTCACCTGGAATTATTGTTTACTAGGTATTTTCCGCGGTTTGCAACGTGAATCAGCATATAAAGCATCCTGTGTACTAAGTTAGAATGTAACCTACCCGTGTACTAAATTACATTCAAATCCGATTAGTCGTGTTGTGTGAAAGAGTAAGAAACATCTATCAGTCCATCCATCCATGCAAAATGCAAAGTTTGTAACGATGGATAGATATATATCCATCGTTACAAACTTTCGCATCCATTTCCATCATCCATCGTTACAAAATTTCGCATTATGTTAATAGAATATGATGATGATGACACAGCCTTTAAATGTCCACTGCTGAACAAAGGCCTCTCTCTTGGAGTTTTATATCATGTGTATCATAAGAGGCAACTAAGGGAGGGCGAAGTTCTCCAAAGCCTAACCGCGGTTGCCAATGCGCCAATGTGCCAAGTGTCGCAACTACTGTCAAAATCCCCCAAGAGGGAGGTTCATGTTCAGCAGTGGACAGTTAAAAGCTGATATGATGAAATTTATTCGCTTAAGTTATTCGTTAAAATTACAAAGTTGACTAAATATAATTAAAAAAGAAAAAGAATTTGAATTGTATTTGAGTGTTAATTAATTGTAATTTTTATTTATAATTTTTATAATATTGTTATATATTGTCTATCCTATACAATGCATTTTGTGTTTTGGATAAATAAATAAAAAAAAAATATTCTTTTGCTAGCGACACAGAATATTGCGCACGCCTATTCAAAACCCTACATAAAAATTTTAAGTGGATTTATTTATTCGGTACCCACATTTTTTTTATAAATAGGTGGTGTAGGTACATGCTTAGATTATATAGATAGTGTCTCCATGTTTTACCAAAAACAAGTAAACTTTTGTATCCATGCGTGCGTGAATAAGGTTACCATAAAGTACATTTACTGCTCAGTATATGGGGGAAATTGTACTCGTAAGGTTAAATAAAAAACGAAACAATACAAAATTCTACGAATATATTTAAAAAGAAAAACAAGAAATAAAATGCTTAATAATTCGTAATGATGCATATGTATACTAATCGATTCCAAACTAAAATTTAAATAATCGATTTAGTCTGGAGTACTTAATCTAATCACTTGCAATACTGAAAAAATGACGCGTTCTGTTTTAATTAAAAGAAAAACTGTCAGATTGAGTCGGCCAAATATGAATTTCACTAATTTAATATTGACACGTCTTCGACACTCGTTGTTCTATCTATATAATCTAACACACGCTCACATCATAGCCTACAATGAGGTCAATTCTAAGGTGCTATTTTCAAAGCCTATCTCTTAATTGTATATTGTATTATTAAAATTAATAATTTTGCGAAAATACTATTTTACGAACCATCACCGAACATAGAACTAAACTAAATGTATATTAAGTTTATCTTAAACCTATTAGAAGTTTAGTTCATATTGGTCCTTAAAATAAAATTTCGCTATGATATTACAATGCAATTTCAATTTTAGAGATTGATTTTGAATCAACCCCTGTACACAGAACTACAATACAGATTAAACTAACATAAAGATATTTTGTACTTATTTATGTAGTACATATATGAACAATAGGTACATAAAATATACTGATTTATTTTCCCAATAAAATAATACCACCTCAAACGAACAGCTTCATAAAGACATCCACCACAGTAGCCACTCTGTTTTATCGCATTGCACAAGTACCAACGACATAGCAGCTTTATGTTCAGTCAGCTGTAAATTTGATGATCTTTAAAGTTTACCGTTTATGACCGTTTTCCAATTAGAAACAGTCGCTTTAACAACGCTGTATTTTATATGGCACGTTACGTTCCTAACCTCTTCACTTCGGAAAACGATACGCAACAAAATAATGTTCTATTGTACGTGTATATTTGTATATTTGCAATTAAAAGTATCAGACAAAATGGCTTTGTCGTCGACATTTTCTGAAGTTTGAATCCCACTTCGATCTCTTTGCAATCTTCGACAATTTTCCATAAGATTCGACTTTATTCTTATCAACTTTTAAGCTGTAAATACGTTAGAATGATCCCTATTTTACTTGTTTACCTAACTTATTCCGATAATGGCAACAGCGATTCGGAGATATTATTTCGAAAATAATAAGTTTCTTTGAACTAAGCATAGGCTTGCCCCGCTACTTCGTACACGTTTCAGAAGAAAGAAAACTGGTAAAACAGACTATTTTTAAATTTTGTATCAAGATAAAATATACACCAGTTTTTAAGTTCCAACCTCAAGAAAACAACAGTGTAAATTGCATTCAATGTGGTACTATAGTGTTTGCATGATGGACAGACAAAATTTCTAAAAGTGATTGTTTTGGTTTCTATTGCTCCTAATAAAACTCCTTACATTATTTTTTCTTAAATTTCTCTCACGTACAGATATCGTCCAGAAATAAGAAATCAGAGAGTAAACAGGATTTGTAAAAATTTAAATAGTTTTTCTTTCATCTCGCAAAACCTGAAGAGAAACCATTTTGTAATCTGAATACTGAATTAAGGCTAAGTGAATGTATTCCGTGATAATAGTGTTTATGGTAGTTGGGAAGGCGAGGGCATGTTGGTTTTACTATAATAATACCACCACTATATTGTGTTGAGTTTATTGGCTTGTTATGTCGCACGGTCGGCGCCGGTCGCCACAGTTTCTCTACGATTTTACCGCAGTTTCAACTCCATTGGTATTTTCTTGTAACAATTTTCTGTATGGGTTGTGTCCTGTTGATAAATGGATTTTGCGGAGGATTAATAATGTATTGTATGTTAGGAAAGGAACTCGTGACTTTGCCCGTCGGAGCACAGAATTTCCAACACCTATTTCATAATGGATTAAATGAATATATGTACCTATAGATCACGAACTTCGACGTAGTGTTTGTACTTTATAATATTAATAGAGTTATATTAATAAAAACATCCATTGAATATAATTATTCCACTTTTAAATTTAATTATTTTCTAATTAATTAAATATTATTTTATTTTAAATTTTATTATTATCTATCTATTATATATACACACCTTACGTCTAAGTACTATAAATATTGATAGCAAGACCTTAAAATATTACTTAAAGATAAAAAAATTTTTAGAGGTCACTGCCGTCATAGTATGAATTCATTGCTTGGTCACAATTGATATATTTGTTTTTATATATAACAATAAATATCTATTATTAAGTCCATATTTCTTATATATCTAGTCTACTTACAAAATAAGGATAATTAATCTGTCGAAATTTTATTAAAATTTCCATTCAAATTGAGAATCATAAATATAATGAAGTTCAAATTACAGCTCTGTCGGCAACCGCTTATCCTAAAATAAATTTCAAGTTTAACCTTATTAAATTCCTAGTTAGACCCCCGTCATGGTATTCCGACAAACTTCCTAACTATAAAATTCCTAACTTCCGTTCTAGTGGTGGTTTATCGTAAACTAAGGTTCACTGGAAAATATTTATTTGTATCGAGGATTACTAGTAGGTATACCTATTAAAATATGTGTATAAATTAATAATTTAAAAATTGACATTTCAATATTATTATAATAGTGTGTGAGTAAGTGTAATAATAAATTTAATTTAAATGTGAATGTATGTTATTCAATTAATCGGCTTTTTTTTTTACTAAACGGTGTGATGAACACTTTTGATATACGCTGGCGAAGCATCAGTGATGGATGGTAACTAAAGATGAAAGCAGTTTGCTCAAAACCCCAACACGAATTTTACAAGAACTAACGAAAACGGTTTCCAGGGGGACCGCATGGAGGAATGACCATATTTTATCAATATGATCATTTGCCTAAGTTTACCTCAAATATGATCGATAAATATATCCCTTACAAACCGTAAATGTGCAAATGTAAAAATCAATAAGTATGTTAATAATCGTGATTATCAGTAATTGATGAAATGTTGAACACATGTTGTTAAAAGAAAAAAAAATTCTCTCAGCCAATCTTCAGACACTCATCATATATCTCGTCTACCTGATTAAGCATTCGTAACTGACATTCTAAAAAAAAATATTTCTAATTCTTTACTAAATCCAATATATTTAAATAAATATATCTGATTTACATTATTTCTATAATCAAAACCATTTGGAATAAAAAATTATATTCTTTTCTTTTTGTTAACAGGTGACTGGGGTGGTAGGCAGAGCGGAAATGCTGTCTTCACTTTTCTTTTTGGGCGCCCTGCTGTGTTATGCTCGTGCTGCAAATAGAAGACGGTACACAGGTGTGTATAAAACTACAGGAAATGGAATAAATAACTCATGGTAGACTTAGCAGATTAATCACACTGGTCAACCAAATGTTTTATTGTATATATTATAACCAATACGTTATATATAGTATATATAAAAATGAGAGGATTTACCATAAGTACAGCAATTTACATAGATATTTTCTATTAAACTAGATATTACATTGTACAGAATGGTCGTCCATAATTAATAAACTGTAACGTTATTAGGCGAATCAAAATCTATTACTAAACTTACGATTCTGCGTTCTAATTTCAAATACTCATAACTCTGTCATTTATAAACCTTTTTTTTGTTGGTTCCATCGAAATTTTATCAAAATCGGTTTAGTAGTTTATTTTTCAAATAAAAATAACCTTGGTTGAAGTTGGTTTTTTTGTGGAAAGCGATTTTTATGTTATTGAATCTTTATATTTACCTTAAAATAATTCTAATGAACGCAGTGTAAGACGACCACCCACTAGATGAAATGCATTGCAGGGAGTCAGTGGATGCAAGTGGCTCAGGACCGTTCTTTATGGCAGTCTATGGGGGAAACTTATGTCCAGCAGTGGACGGATAATGGCTGAAATGTTGATGATGATAAATTGTAATGAAACGCGAGTAATGTCACAACGAAATTAAATACAAAATTTGTTTCTAGGAAAATAAATCTAGTTCATACTAGCTAAATGGGATATAGATATGAATTTTATGTTGTTACTATGGGAGGAATATTGAAATAAATTTCCAATAAAATTACTTAACTACGAGTAGTAGCGTCAAAGAATTTAATAATGTTTTTATTAAATTCTTATTAAGAGGATAGTATATTACATTATTAATTTTTCTATGTATTTCTTAACCATTATTAAATAAGTACTGGTATGTATTTAAAAAAAATCTAACAATTCGTGCCTCCGGTCTGTTTATAATTACTTTTTTCCATCCAAAAGAAGAAGAAATCGCTCTTAGCGATAAGACCTTCCATTGTTTTCTCAGTGTAATCTTTTCTTGTAATTGTTTGTATTTATAATAAGTTTACTAATGTAATCTTTTGAAGGAAACAATAAAGAGTATCTATGTATCTATCTACTTAATTAGAGTTGGGCATCATGGACATTACAGAATACACTGTCATTTATAGTAATATTCAGAAAATAGGCAACTCTTCCTGAAGACTAAGTTATACCTTCATGCCTTGTTATATCACTATCATACCCAACAATATCTGTTATATTAGATTTCATAGTTGTTAAAAAAATATAGGTATCTATTTAAATAGTGTATTCATGTATTATCCTAACCTTCTTCTAAAGGTTCTTGAGTGGCGACCCCGTACAGGCAAACGCGGTGTAGAACTACTCCCCACTAGATGGAGTGATGACTTCAAATGCATTGCAGACAGTCAATAGATGCAGGTGGCTCGGGACCGTTCCTTATGGCAGTGTATGGAGAAGGCCTATGTCCAGCAGTGGACAGATGATGGCTGAAATAATAATGATTGTTCTAATCTTAGATTATAGTCCTATCATATGTTACAGACTGGCGTTACGTAGCAGCTTGTACGGCATGTGTTGGCATCGCCATGCTATGCAAGGAGCAGGGCATCACCGTCACTGGAGTGTGTGTTGTATACGAACTCTTCGTGGCGCAAAAGGTATGGTTTTTTATTGAGTGAAAATGAAATAGTGACGTACCTGCACTATCGGTATACACTAGTGGAGCACCAGCTAGAGATGATAGGTGAGGATAGAGCAGGTTAAGTGGGCCATCATAATGAGTTCAGCCATTATTAACCACGATGTTTTCCAGGGGAAATCGCGTGGAGGTCGACCTAATAGGGTATATTACTAGCAATGGGTAGTTTTTTTTTTGATGGGTAAAAATGGTATGGTTACCCCGCCTGCGCTAACGGGATACGCTGGCGGAGCACCAGTGAAGGGTGACAGATGAGAATGAAAACAGGCCAGTTAGCCCATCATGATGAATTCATCAGGAATTAACCATGATAGTTTCCAGAGGTCGACCTGATTAGGTATATTGCTAGCAATGGGATTCCCAGTCTCCATTACTAACAATCCCTTTCCCCCCAGCAATGGGTAGTTAGACCCGGGAAAAGGATTGTTAGTAACAATCTCTTTTCTCCCAAAAAAAAAAGTATGTTTTGATACGACATCAAGTTAAAAAACTTTGTAGTGTATACTAATGGTAGCGGGTACTCAATTTAATAATTTTAGTATTCCGACAAAAAATTTTGACGACACAGCCTTCCTCATTTTTGCGCTGTTTACCCGGCTTATCTCCCTCTAGATGAAACTTGCGGTTTGACATTTATATCAACCAATAGATTCAGCCACGAAAAATAATATGTACATTTAATAAACAATTTTTGTTCACTGCGAGTCCCAATCAGCTCACAACAAAAGGTCAGAAAAGAAATAATCCGTATTCCCTATGCGCTCTCGCGTGGTGCTTACGTATTCTTTTTATTCTTTAAGTATTACATTTTACTCGTGCCGGCTTATATCAGCAGATGGGTCGCCAACTAAGAGCAACTTTTTGTATTATGCTGTAACTTTCATTTCAGTTTTATTTACACACGCTAGAGTCGTATCTCGCGCGACTTCCTCAAATAATAGTAACATTATCCATTCGAGAACGGAGTTCAATACTCGACATTCCTGCGACCCAGTTTCAGAGCTTTGTAAATGGAAATTACTTTTTGTGAGGCTGGCTGGCTCTGCATTGCTTTTAGGTTGACTTTCTTCCTCCTCCCAAGTTTTCTGTGTTTTTGTTAAAAGATAATATAAAAATATAATTTCCGTCCCATTCATACTTTATTGCGTTTCAATGGGTCAGCACAAGTTTTCGCTCATCGTAAAAATAAATATAAGTACGTTCTTAGATAGCAAAACAAAATTATATTCACAATTTTATTAACTTCGGTCCGATGATTTCGGTAATGATTTTAAGAAAAGCTACTGTGTTAGCACCATTGACCTCTTTTATAACAGCTGCTAGTAGCCCTCTATTGATTTACAAAACCGATATGTATCCTTGAGCTTAAGTGTTTTTCAACCTAAATTGTATATCCCCAGCGTCGTAATTCGGGTGGTGGCAGCCGATGGTCGTGGCTAGAAGCTTGGGGCAAAGGCTCTGGCTGGGGGTGCGCTTGCGGTGAGGCAGCGCGAAGAGTAGCTACAGTATGCTGTGCGACGCTGGCCCTGCTTGCAGCCAGATTACATGTAATGGGAGCTCAACTGCCCGTCTTCACTAGATTTGACAACCCAGCTGGAGCTGCACCACCACCAGCTAGGTAAGAAACTAAACACGAGTAATATACACATATCACGAATATTATTGTAAACGCTCTTTATAGAATTTCTCATATGTTACCGTCCTTTAATAGGGATGGGTATGGAAAGAACTCCTCAAGTTGTTGTTCCTGTTGTCTAAGAAATTTCACTGATGTTGTAATTACAATTTAAACCACAACACACCAAAACATTTTAGCAATTAATATACACTGTTGCTACACAATAGAACCTATAAGCGTAATCACAAAATTCTTCCGGAATTGTTATAAATGTTTACTCACTTAATTTGCTTGCTATCATCGAACGAAATGGGGAGATGATCTCTGCTTTTATTACTTAGTAAGTAATCGGGGTTGGAGATAATGGCTGGCTTTGACAAGCAGTTTAGTGTATAAAACGGCACAGCAAAGCCTGGGCACATTAATTTTACGAGCATCGTCGCTCGCCGTTCATTGTTTAAGGGTGGATTTTCTTCCCTCAGTAGGTCCATCCTCGGTGTAAGCGAACGCCTAAATTTACGTAAAACCCGACCCAGAGGTTGAAGGTCGAAGGCTCACTTTCTTTGACGACAGAAATTAATTGGCCTGTACCCAGTTTCCTCGAAGCTATTGACAAATAGTGTCTTATCGATCTGTCCATCGTGGTCTTAAGAAATATATTAGTACAAAATATGGAGATATTTTTATATAAATCTGCTTAATTTAAATCATCATACATAAGTATGTTTATTAAGTGAAAACTAATCTAGAAAGTACTATTCAATTTTTTCATTTGAAATTTACCAATTTTTGTAATTAATTAAATAAATGAGTTAATATTTAATTAGTTTTCTAGCTGTTCATAAATGTGAACAACTTTATATGAGATCACTAAAATCTACAAGTGTGATCAATACTTGCAGAAATATAAATAAAATCCTTTATTTTAGATTAGGTAACATATTTTTTATAAGAAATTATTAGTTTTATAGATCTGAATTATTATTATCTACTTAATAAAAACCCACTCAAGCCGCTTTCAGCCTTTTCTCCTCATAAAGCCATAAATCAACTGTGTAGGGACTAAGAACATCTTTTACTAAACCTTTTTATTATATATTTCAGGCACTTAACTTTTGCCTACCTACCAGCCCTAAATGCCTGGTTACTGGCGTTACCTGAAGCTTTATGCTGTGATTGGACAATGGGTACTGTTGCATTGTTACGGTCATGGAGGGATCCCCGCAATCTAGCGACTTTAGCGCTGGCTACAACGTTGATAGCTGCTGCAATACATGCTTTGAGGACTCGTTCTTCTGCTCTTTCTATGGTATGAATTTAAATATATTTCTCATATTGTTATTTGAGCGTTAAAAATAAATATCCTAAAACTTAATGTTAAATATATGAAAGAAGAAATTTAATAAGCAAACGATTCGTACATATTCTTTGCTTTTTAAATAATAAATAATGTGTAAGATTGCCCGGAAAAATCGTTATTTAGCGACACGATCACCCATTATTGCCTTTTTACTTTCTTCTTGTAAACCTGTTTCTTTTTTGTCTACATTTTCTATGTAGCTATACTTTTTACTTTCTTTTTAAGTAAAAATATAAAATTTTCTTTAATTATAATTGAAACCATACAATTTTTAATATATATACTTGAAAGCATCCTAAAGAAACGGAACTAAATAACTGATATAAATATCACTAAAAACGATAACATTTGTTCATATATTTTTATTGAGAAAAAATTAAAGCTAGTATTAGTTATAACGAGCATCGAGTATCAAATTTCATGTTAAAAAAATTATAATTTGCCATTGTAATTAATTTTTCAGGGCTTAGCATTACTAGTTCTACCATTCCTACCGGCCTCAAACTTGTTCTTCCCTGTTGGATTTGTGGTTGCTGAGCGAGTGCTCTACATGCCTTCAATGGGATGGTGTCTATTGGTGGCCCACGGGTGGCGGTTATTAGCTAAACGCCGCGCGAAACTTGCCGCTGCCGCACTTATATTCCTCTTTTTAGCGTTCAGTGCCAAGACTTATGTGAGGAATTGGGATTGGAAGACTGAGTATTCAATTTTTGCATCAGGACTGAAGGTAAATATAATCATACAATTGACAAATTTTAAGAAATGTTAGCATAACTCTACTTGTTACTGTTTTGTATAAGAATCGTTCATGTAGATACACGCGAGGTTCTATGTGTATGTGGCGACATTGCGGTTTTAAAGAGGAATGTAGCAATGAAATTACATACTATGGAGATATAATAACTTTGTCTCCAGGTATAGTAAAGAGAAAGTACCTTCAAGAAAAGAGCATATTCCTTTTTAAAAGGCCGGCAGCACACCTGCTCCGTAGGTGACCATAGTACCATCAAAGAGTTTGCCACCTGTGTTGTAAAAAAAAAAAAAAAAAGTACTCTAAGTGTCATAGTGCATTTTGTACTGCCCAAAGTGCTGTTCATGTCACATAACCTGATATTATGTATAACCTAACCTATGATATAGGGAGGGAAGGGATAATGTTAGTAATGCGGATTACCGAAATGGTAATATTTATTGCTAACAATGTACTCTCACAGGTCGACCTCCCGGTGGTCTCCCCTGGAAACCGTCGTGCTGAATTCCAAGTGTATTCATTACGATAGGCTATCTGACCTGCCTTTTCATTCTCACCTATTATCCCTCCTAGTGCTCCGTCAGCGTATACCGTTGGCACAGGCAGGGTTACCATTCCATTATCATCCATAAAAAACCTATGATATAACCTATATTCATATAAGTTTTTTTACTTTTCATAAGATGGGCCGTGAGCTTATTTGCATTTCAATTTGCATAAGAATAAGAATAATCTAAATATAAATATTTAAGACGTTATTCAATTCCACAGGTAAATCGCAACAATGCAAAATTGTATAATAACGTAGGACACGCTTTAGAAGCTGAAGGGAAATACGCTGAAGCATTAGAATTCTTCAATACAGCTGTGAGCGTGCAACCTGATGACGTAGGAGCTCATATTAATGTTGGAAGAACATACAATCATCTCGGACGTTACCAAGAGGCCGAAGATGCCTACGTAAAAGCGAAATCATTATTACCAAAAGCAAAGCCTGGAGAATCTTATCAGGCAAGGATAGCGCCCAACCATCTTAATGTTTTCCTAAATCTTGCCAATTTAATATCCAAAAATGCTACACGTTTGGAAGAAGCGGATATGTTATATAGACAAGCGATAAGTATGCGTGCAGATTATACGCAAGCATACATAAATAGAGGAGATATTTTAATAAAATTAAATAGGACAAAAGAAGCTCAGGAAGTATACGAGAGAGCCTTGTTATATGATAGTGGGAATCCCGATATTTATTATAACGTAAGTTCAGTGTTATTTTTGTTACTTATGTATTTTTAATAAGAAACTTTCAAGTGTTTTTGTCGTCTGTGTTATTTATGCTTTTGTATCGATTATTTAAATTATCCGTGTTACGGTCCGATTGAAGCTACAGAAATGTATGAAATCAATCTTAAGGACATGCTCATAGTACCATAAACGATAATAAAAAATAAAATTATATGAATAATAGTTTTAATCTTTAAGAATGTCTTTTATGTAACTTTTGTGAAAAATGAGTAAACTGTCTAAAGCTTTATAAAATATTGACCCGCGGAACCTAAATTCATGAAATTTTCATCAAGTATTTATAAAGAGTTTTATTTCTAGTTGGGAGTTGTTCTCCTAGAACAAGGCAAAGCTTCACAAGCGTTAGCTTACTTGGACAAGGCTTTGGAACTAGAACCGGAGCATGAACAAGCATTATTGAACTCTGCGATACTTCTGCAAGAACTCGGTGCCGCCGACTTGAGGCATATCGCCAGACAGCGTCTGCTGAAACTACTTGATAAAGATGGTAAGTAATCGTAACTAGAATAGTAGATAATTGTCTTATTTTGTATTTTTTTTTTTTCTAATTCTCACGAGAAATAATCTGTCTGCTATTGAGAAACGTAATAAATAACCCCGCAGCTGCATAATGAATGGGGCTTAACGTGCCGCTGAATTATTTACGAAGTATTGTCCGTCGTTAACATCGACTAACTAGTAACTGTTCGCAGCTGAGGCTGCGCAACTAACTCAAGAGTTGCATTTATTTCGAAATGCGATTCAGGATACTGATTGTTGTATTTATGGAAGCTTAATCCATCTTGAATATTGAACAATCATATAAGAATAAGATCTATGTATCGAATACGAAAGATGCAATAATACATTTGATGGTGATTAAAAACGAAATCTTAATTCAAAATTAGTTTCTTCTATTATACGTTTAATAAATTTCTAAATGTATTGTAATGAGTTAAGCCCAATCTTTCAGTTATACTTTTTAAAAACTTACGAATTACTTTATACATCGGTGCATCAAAACGTAGGCATAATACTATACTATAATGTGTTTTGTTGTAATACTAATGGAAAACTTGACATAAAGTCGTACATCCTGACTCATCTATTAATTCTACTGTCAATATGTATGTATCTCAAGTGTGAGTTAAACATCGAATCCAGGGCCGTAGCTAGACCCAAATTTAAGTTAGGGCAGAAGCTATAGTTGACTTCGAAAAAGCGAATCTGTCTAATTTTCTTGGGGCCTTTCATTTTAAGGCATTGGACGTTTTAAAGTAGGTGATTGTCTCTCAATATCCCCACCCCCAGCTACGACTATGATCGAATTACTGTATAGAAGCATAACACATTTTTTTTAAATAACAAAGTATAAAGAGTACTTAATATACTTTAACTACCATATTCACAGTATTACTCATTTCTATAGGCGATAAATATCACATTCCACGTATAATGAACTGCGTACATGTTACTTTATATAAATTTCGACATCCGCACGACGAACGCACACGTACACTCCGATCTGGGCATGGTGTGTATGGATCTGGATGAAACGGTGTGCGCATAGCAATAATCCCGTGCGATAGTTCACCAAAAGCTGAACTTCTGTTCAAAATTGTTCAACCTCGACATTTTCTTAGCCAACACTCGCTGTCTCCAAAGGGCGGCCGAAGAGTCGCTCATGTCTATAGGCGACGAATATTACATTCCATAAAGTCAGCATTTTACCAATTGGAGTTTTTTTATATATATCCCAATTTGGCCAACACTCCGTCTTCTGGAGACAGCGTTTTTCTTATGTCTATAGACGATGGTAATCACTTTCTAAAAGGTGAACTGTCAACTAGTTGCCATTCAGAATTGTATATAAAGTTCCATTATCCTCAGCGACGAACGAGCGTGTACATTTCAACCTCGGCATGGTATGCATGGATGAAGGCGAAGCGGAATGCGCGGAACGATGGTTCCGTGCAGCGGTACACCTAAAGCCGGACTTCCGTTCAGCGTTATTCAACCTTGCGCTTCTCTTGGCCGATACGCGTCGCCCTCTAGAAGCCGCGCCTTTCCTGAAGCAGCTTGTTCGACATCATCCCGACCACGTGAAGGCACTCGTTCTTTTAGGAGACATCTACATTAACTCCGTCAAGGATCTTGATGCTGCTGAGAGTGTAAGTATGCATTATTAAGAAACAAGTTCTGAAAATAGGAAAATCACAAATTATTTATGTTATTTATGAACTAATTTACTAATTTACTATACTAATTTTTTTACTTTTAATTTATTTACTTTACTAATTTTGTTCTGAATTTAATTTTTTTTTTGTTGCAATTAAAAGGTATAGAATAAACAGGAAGTGCGATTGGCATACCACGAAAATATAATATAATGACCAAATACATTAACTTTTATTACTTTCTCCATGTTAAAACTGATAATTTAATTGTTTTGTTCGGTATTGCATTTTTCAACATTATTGCGTTGTCCAATTATTGTTCCGATATTAAGTAGATATTTGGTTATTTTAAAATACTTGTTTCATGGAATCTTCAATATTTCATTAAAAATTCTTGCTCGGCTATCTGTATCGAGCGCATGCTTTTTCAATTATTCCGTGAAATAATACTTTAACAACATTGCGCTAGCAAATTTTTAAACTTTTTTTTTTATTTAAGTCATTAACTGCATAGCCATTGTTTACTATTATTTTTGCTTTTCATATCTATTGACGTTGATTATCGCTTTCCATCAGGCAGGCCGTCAGCATATTTACCATTCTAAAAAAATATAATAGAACAATTTTATCTCCTTTGATAAGTGCTAAAATAAATTAAAGCAATATTAATATTTTAAAAGATTTTGTAAAGGAAAGTCAATAATATAGGTAGTTTCTCTCCAATTCACAGATTATATTTGACATTTGATATTGGAATGGTTTATAACCTTTTATTGCACAAATCATAAGAAAGTAAAGATATTTTGATATTTTGTTATGTACATGATACTGTTCACGTCTATAAGCAACTTTCCATCAGGTGGGTCGTCAACTTATTTGACATTTTAAGTTATAATAAAAAAAGTATTATCAATATTTATAAACATATTTTAATTAAAATTAATATGCACAAGGATAGACCATATCTTATATTATTACATACGTAATATAAAATTTCTACAGAACATACAAGTACAGATGTTCAACGTGTATAAGTATACTGATATGCAATCATCTCGGTTGCAGTGTTACCGCCGGATCTTAGAATTGGAGCCGGACAACGTACAAGCACTCCACAACCTCTGCGTTGTGGCGGTGGAACGCGGGAAGCTGGCCGTCGCTGAGGAGTGCCTCATCCGCGCCTCAGCACTAGCTCCTCACGAGCACTACATCCAGAGGCACTTAGCCGTCGTTAAGGCAAGACGAGCGGCAGCCACCTCCACAGTCCCCCCAACGCCAACCGCCACCACAGAGGTTAAAGCTAGGTGGAACTACATTCCCCAGCAGCCGCCTGACCCACACGAAATCGACCCCTCATAGCAGATTACCGAATGAAGCCTGTAAATACTATTATATCCAATGCTTTATTTTACATATAGAGGCCTTGTATACCTATAATGTAGTTTAAAATCACTTCCATGCTTATATCACTCAATGGGTACAACTAGAGAAACGATTTTCCGATTTTAAAGTCATTTGGCGTAACCCTAGTAGCTTACGATTGATTTTCACACAACTGTTATGGGTGTCTTTCCTACTCTAGAATGTTACATTTATTTATTTTCAATCAAACAAAATTTAATGTGACCACTCCATTACAACGGATTTACAAATTTATAATATATAAGCATTCCATTGTGCAACATGTCTCTATTTTCAATATGGAAACACTGAGACTGATTCTGAAGTACTATTATTTTCTCAAAAAAAAATTATATTCATTACACTAAAATAATTATCCTCTGAACAGATATAAATTTAAATTACATAATTATATCTACTAATTTATTTTTTGATAGTCCTAAACAATATTTTTCGTAAACTAACAATTTTAATTTCAAATTTTAGAGATACGTTTAATGAATGCCGCTTCAGAATCGACCTCAGTCCCAATATCATACACGTTATACCATTTTGCCGCCCACATATTCTTTTGATTTAATGAATAAATTCAAAGGTACGCTATAGGAATACGGAATGACTGAATTAATGCTAGTGGAACCCATATAAATTATTAATGAAAAAAAATCTTCAATTTGTAATCGCATTATTACGTAGTGACTTGCTCAGTGACCCGTATCATAATAGGTGAGCATGTAGGTGATTTTCAAGTACACTTTGTAGGTAGATATAATGTGTCTATAGTAAAATATATCGTTGTTAGATTATCTCGTCGAACACCAATATTATTCGGCCAATTCATACTCGGTTTTAAAGACATCATTTGTTAAATCAGGGTACTCTTCTATTTGTTTCCACTCTGACGTAGATTAATCTTGCTGACACTTTCTATTTGTATCTAAGATACAGACAAAGACTTGGAAATGTCAAGTGTTTGTTTTTTATTAAATATATTGAATTATATTTAGTAAAATAATGCGCTTTCTTTTTAAAATTATTTCGGAATTACTTCGACTTCTACTTATATTATTTATAAAGGTAACTAAAATTTCGATTTATGATATTAGCATTTAGTTCGAAATAATTAATTAAAAAACAAAATTTGACGTTTACCTAGTCTATAGCAATGTTTTAAAGCTTTATAGACAAGGCGTTTTATTGATGTGTATAAAATTAAGCTTATATAGAGCTTACATTAAATACAAAATAATTTCCATTCGTTTTCAGTATAGATCGGCAAGGTTAGGCCGTATTAAAAGTCGACGAATAGTAAGCATCGGTTCTTAATTTGAAATAAACTAAATTTACTCTAATATTGTTAGTCTATTGCAGACGATTTACAATAAAAAGTATATTTTTAACTAACTGTAGTATCCTATGTGCTACGTTAGGATTTCATTCAAATTCGTTGAATAGTTTTTACGTGAAATAATTCCAAACATACATCCATCCATTATTGTAATAATGAATGGGTGGATGTTTGTTATTTATTGATTTGATTTCATAAAGAGAAATTTTGTCCGAAAAAAACTAAAACTATCTGTGACTTCTAACCACGACCGATGTTTAATATTCTTAATTTCGATGGAAATAATTCGGACAGCATTACTGGCCTAACTTCTTCGCATCAGAATAACGCCTCGTGTGGAATCAGCTGTTTTCATGATATTTTTATATTCTGAATTAATCTTAAATTGTATATCTGTGCATTGGATAATTAATTGTGCATACCAATATTATTCTTAGTAGCTAACGTCATGGGCGTACCCAACTTGGCAAAGAGTGATTGGATCTAAAAAACCAACTATGGGCATATGAAGAACAATCTAGTGAAAAATGTGAAAATACATCTGTGTGTATATTTATCTGTCTATTTACCTTATTGTCAACTTATTGCATATTTATTTTTAACTTTGCAACAAATACAAACCGATAGAAATATTCAAGATAGGGAAATCACAGACAATAAAAAAAATATTAAAATCTATTGACACTGAAAAGTAGTAATCGAATTTATCATGAGGTAAATTTTTGTTAAACTACATATTGGATGTTGCTGTCTCTTTCTATCTCATGTACACAAAGATTGCCACTTATCTATGGAGGCTGGGTGCGCTCATGACCAAAGTGATCTCTTAGAGAAGCTTATGATTTGCATATGGCGTTACGTGATATTAGTTAATTACACCATAATTATATTTATGTATGCCATATATGTATAATAGGTATTATTACGTAGAATATGTTGAAACGAGCTTTCGTCATTATTAGCCTGGTATACGGTATATGTACGGATTGTATAAGTCTGTAAATGGATATAGTTCCATATAGGAGACGTATTATTTCCTATCATTGTCTAGTCATGATGCAATTGTTTGGTGAAAAATTTAAATTTTTCCTATTATATTTTGTTGGAATAGGTATTGTGGAATAGAAATTAAAGCCGCGTATTCACAATGTGGGCAAGTGTTGTAGAAGAACAAGACGTTAAATCCAAATAATAGTGTAATACATAAAATAAAAATACAATGCTTCAATATACATAAATAGAACAAGTGATATTTCCTTTAAACATCAATAGAACTTTAATAAGGTCTCTGTGTAAAGAAATTTCAAATCTAAAAACAAGAACTTCTGATGTTTTTTTAATAAAAAAAAAAAAAACAATACTTGTTCCGATTTCGAAAAATAGTCAACTTTTAATTTGACGATTCAAACCGACTATTAATAGAATATTTTTAAAAACTATTAACATTCTATTGAAGCATTTGTAAGTTAACAAAATTATTAAAAAACCTGCCTCTTCAATATAGTCAATTTTTTTTCTCGAAATTTAAATATCGAATCCCATAACGCTAGGCCTTCATTAAATTGTAACGATGTTGTACCCCGTGCTTTGATTAGGCGTTGGGAAGTAGCGTTACCGTAGCCGTGCCCGCATAATCACCTCCTTTAATGAACAAACTACATAATAATTAATTAAAAAGATCATCTTTTGATACACATAGCTTCTAGCAACTAGTGTCTCGAACTGTGGTAGGTAGCGCGCAAACGGTATTTTTTCTGAATTATATCCATGTACTTAGGTACTTATGGTTCCGTAGATTAATATCATCTAGATAGGGCGTCTCTCTATAAATGTAACGGGGAAAAAATTTGTTCTTGTGCCACTTATGTCAAACGCCAAAATAAATACTAAAAATAATTAGTCGGATAGCCAACAATTGGTTAATTGGCCAATTGAAGACATTTTTTGACACCGTATACTATCTAGATGATATTGTCTAAGCTATCTATAGTTCTGTTCACTTTTGTGAAACATTAAGCCATATCTACACTGTTGTCATTATGTCTATGAAATTATTATGTGGTAATAATAGTTAAATTATCATCATCTTTTTCAGTGATTTTTGAGATTATTGAGATAACTCACTGTGCATAATTTAATTGTCTATATTCTGTATACCATATTAATTTAAATCGCTAACAAGAAAATTCACAAAGAGAAGGCGGAGTCCAAAAAATAATTAAAACACCTCATGTAAATACACCTTAATATCCACAAGCATTATTGATTGGTATTTGATTGAATTTTTTTTAAATATTTTTATTTATAAGTACCTACCTATTTGTGTATACCCACTATCAACTCTTAAAGTGCACTACACTATGACAATACCTGAAAATATACTTTAACAACCTGTGATTTTAAACTCTCAAGTCTCATATAAATTTTTTTATAAAATTGCGTTTATTTTTCAAGCATGGTACCTACACTAGTGTGAAAGTCAGTGTAATATCATGGAATACAAAATAAATATCTTGTCATAGCATGGGATCACATTTTGATTTATTCAATTTTGTTTTTGTTCATTTATACGGGCAACAAAATTATTCAATCACAAAATGTTAAAATATGAAATAAAATATTTAGAACCGCATTACAGATCAAAAGCGGTTTTTTTTTTGATCCCATATTATTTTAAAATTATAGTTCATTATAATTAAAAAAATTTAAGCTTTCTCTTTTTCATGACGGAATATACATCTATCCACACCTACCCACTAAACATTATTTTTTAATTTCTGATAGAATCGTTTATGCACACAATATACTTGTTTTTTCTTTTTTTTATTTTATTAAGAATTCATAATGTAAAATGATAATATGTTAAAATTATAATTCGTACCTACCTATAACTACGATGTGATGGTAAAGCTCCCAATTTGGAATTAAGTGTGTCCAGCCATAAAGCACGATGTCTCATTAAAAACTGATTAAATAATGATTATTTTCATAAAGGCTAATGTTATATTGTAAAAAGTAAATGAAAGTGATCGACCGTTATTAGATTTAGATGTGAAAAATGTAATGTTGTTAATGTTTTAAGATAAAAAAAAAGTAACTTTTGTAAAAACTGAATTTTTTACAATGTCTTGAAACATTTCCGGTGGTAAACTCTTGATGGAGTTGATGATTCGTAAGGACCCCGAATATTATAAACTATTTGTCGTCAAAACGTTTATTTTTATAAAATAAAATGATGTTTCAAATGATTCTACTATTTATTTCATTGTCTTGGAACCCCAAAATACTGATACATACATGTTCCAATAAAAGTATTTTTTATACTATAATAGTATCCTTAATAGAACGTACTTAGTACTTAAGTACGTTATACTAAATCTATGACATTATCTAACTAGAGATTTCAGATGAGGATGGAGTCTGTTCTCCTAAGCTAAAATAAAGTTAACCTACAGTTACCTACGTAGACAGGTACGTACAAGTAGGTGACCTACGTAATCCTATTACAAGGTCAAACAAAAATAAATACCTAAGTCACAAAACGAGATAATCCAATTTAGGAGTAATAAGTATAAACTTGTCTATAAGTTAGAGACAGAGATATGTAGCTAAGTCAGTTACTTAAGTTTGGTACCTAGATATCATATAAGTCTAGGTAGATACTGTCAGGTCAGGCTCCACATAATCCAGGATGAATCGCGTGAAGATCGGCCTAAAAAGGTATTGCTAGCAACGTGCCCATTACTAACAATCCTTCTTCCCCAGCGCGGGCGGGGATACCAAACCATTTTCACCCATTAAAAAAAATATTTTTTTTATACCACTGAGGTGGCAAACAAGCATACGGCCCACCTGATGGTAAGTGGTTACCGTAGCCTATGAACACCTGCAATACCAGAGGTATTACGCGTACGGCCCTGAAGAAACCTCTTTACTCCCCTTTTGAAGAACCCCATGCTGTAGTCTCTTGGGAAAACCTCGGCAGGGAGCTCATTCCACAACCTGAGTGGATCCTAAATCTATCATAAAAAAGTATTCTCATGACAGAGACACCAGGTATAGTCAAAAGCACTATAGCCAGTTACTGGAGATGAACTTAACATACGTAATGGTGCCATACAATAAAACAAATAAGCATTCAAGACTGTCGAGCATTCACACTGACCGTATAAAGATATTATTACAGTATAAAGAACTTTATTGATGCTTATATTTGGTTTTACAATTAGTGCATGGCCGTAGCTAGGGAGAGAGGGGCTTGAGGGACAATGCCTTACCTTAAAAGGCCCAATGCCCAATCTTAAAATAAAAGGCCCCAACAAATTTTGATAGATTCGCTTTTTCGAAGTCAATTATGGCTTTTGCTCTACCTTAAACTTCGGTTTAGCTACGGCCCTGAATTAGTGTAAATACTTTGTCTTGTATATTAAAATTGGCAAATCAGTTTTAAATAATAAAAATGCAGATCGCAGTCAATAGGAAGGGAATCACAGTGTACTTCATATAAATACATCACGACTAAATTTAGATTACGGATGAACCTTTTTAACAGAGCGGGACTTGATAAAAATCGCCTGCATGCATATCTCTGTCGCACCCGTGTAGCAGTTATGCTTGCATAGCTATTTCAGTCACAATAATTTATGTGAAATAGTTGTACCGTCAACATGCTATGCTCTTCTAAGTAGCATACACTAGCGGTGCGCAATTCCGAATGATTTTTTTATTCGAATAATTAGGAATTACTAATTTTATTTACTACAAAATTAGTATTCAAATAATTTCACTAATAAGTAATTCAATCTAAACCGCAAACAATGAAAACTGAAATCCTTTCCCTGACACTGTACACTCACTAAACAATGAATAAAATTTGTAGTCGAATAAAATTTGTAACCGAACGACAGTAATCGAATGGATAAAATTAGTAGTCGAATGATTTGAAAACCATTCGAATAATCCGAACGAACTGTTCAGTCGAATTAGTAAAGTCGCGCATCGCTAGCATACACAACCGACACCTTATTTATCAACGCCTTACCTTGCGACCTTAATTCCTAGGTTTCCCCTACTTAATGCAACTTCTCAAGAAACACACAATTAAAATAAAACAACAATATTGTGTAAAAGATTCACTATATTGTTTTGTACAGTGAGCGATTCACAGATTCAAGACAATATCGCCCCCATTACACGCCTTAAAAATATTCCTCATTCACTTCCACTAGGTAATCTTTAATACAAATATGGAACTAGTTATTTCAGTGGAATTGCTTAAACAATTATTCAATCACGATAATCATTTCACCCATTTGAGTTACAACAAACTGTAACGGGTAATAAGCTGGGACAGGATAATCTAGCATCACTGAAGACTGATCACTAATACAGTTATAAAATTTAAGTACCATAATTGCTTCCAGTTCGCACAATGTATATTAATAACATTCCTCTCTCAACCGACTAATCGAATCGACTTATCGCGTACACAATATCTTTTTCTTTGATATTTTATAAACAACGTGGTAAAACGTATTAAGTTTTTAACATAAAATCTAATCAAATAAAGGGAATATAATTTAACTATATACAATATCTCGTCACATATAACAAAATCTTACAATCTCGCTCCGCACACGACTTAACGCACTAATTCGAAATACTATCAACTTACTTATATTCGATGGACTTACATTATAATATTGTAACTTGTTCCTGATATTTTACTATTGCTGTCGTAAGTTCAGAAATACAAATATAAGGCCACACCTTTTATTTGACCGAAACTAGTTTTATACAAAGGAATGGAAACATTTAAATTGTATATCAATGTTCAAGGTCATCACAATTGTCACAATTTACAAGTGAAACTGCAAAAATAGCATACATATGCAACAGATGTACTCATTTGAAAAATGTAGACAAACTTGACTTTACCGAAAATAGTAAATTAATAAGGTCACATAAAATATACACAACGAAGACAATGGACGTTTACATAATTATGTATACACAAACTATAGAGTATATAAATCCGAATTGAAATTAAATTTTTTGTTTGATATTTAACAACAGAAAAAATTGGGTCGAACCTGAGGAGCCATTTCCCTAAACCTATCTTTAAAATTTCAATTTCAATTTGATATCACAGCGAAATCTTTATTGTAAGGACCAATACAAACTAATTTTCTAATAAAAGACAAAATTATAATAATTTTAGTTTAGTCCTTAAAACAATAGTTTCGCGAAATTATCAAAATAAAATATTGGACTAAGAAATACGTTTAGAGAACTGACGCCTCAGAATCGACCCAATAGTTTCCAAAACTCAATGGGCATACATTACAATCGTATTGAAACTCATGTTCTGTTGGAAAGTTGTAAACACTATGTGAACATCTTCAAAAGATAATATTTTTGTAAACTTACATATTAATTCTACGATTTTCCAAGTTCCAAGGTACGGAACCTTGCATAAAAATACAGGCAGCTGCCTGTCTATTATCGAATCGTCAAAAATAAAGAAGTAAATGGAAAATTCAAATTTTGCAGTTTCACTTAATTTCGCTAACAGTACTAATTACTAGTGAATCATAATCAGCGTCATTGTTAACACCACGACAAGGTCATTATAGCTATTTAACGACATTGTGGAGTCAGGTGAGGCGATGTTTACAGCTCACACTACTATTTTTTTTTTCCTTAAGGTGGATTCAGACTAAAAGAACAAAAATCACAGACCATGATCTAGAACAGAACTAAAACGGACTAGGTTAAAAAAGTTATATAGTATAATCGTCAATAGATGTCGTATGTGTCGCCGGAGAGGCGCCATAGTTATTATAAATTTCAAAACGGCCGTTTAATGAAGCGATAGGTTCAAAACCCGGCCGCTTCGAATTGTTTTTCAGCCACAAAATTATTGAAACATTATTTTTATTATAATTTAACGATGCCACCTCTTAGTACACTTTCTTTTAAAAACATTGGAGTAGTATTAAGAATTATTCACTCACTTGGTCTAAATCCTCCTCCTAAAAAAAACTAAATACAATTTTGATAGTACAAAACACTTTCACAATATGGCAAACTTATCTACATTCATTGTGATGTTAGTTCATTGTGATGTTAGGATTATTAATATTGGCTAATAACATTGAATAATGAATCCTCTGCCCTCTATAACATATTCTGTCGTGCAAACAATTAATAAAAATACACTATATCGATATAGCATTACAGTGTATTTTTTTAAATACAGAGATTGTTGCATGGTATCGGAGGAAATGGCTATATTTATTCAGTTAATAGTTATAATTTCAAAATTACAACGAAACTGTATTTCTAGGTCATTTCTCGATAATAAGTGTATAGTGTTCGATGCGTGATATACTTTACTGCATTAAAAAGTAAGGTAAAATTTACGATTGTCACGCTTCATTGTACGATAAAATCTTAAAGACATAAATTGATTTACAATTTTATTATTACAATAGGATCACTATTAGGACTTTCTTTAAAGACACTAATCATTTAAATTTCACCTTAATTTGCATAACGTAGTTTAGTAGGATTTTCCGGAACTTTTGCGGGAACGGTACATATGGTATGTACCGTTTAGAGAACATAGCTGCAGGTTCTTGTTACTGAAGCTGTTTATTATTTACACGACAGAACAATCAGTATTAGGGACTTTTACATAGCGTACGCTGCATCTCAACACTGATGGTAAGTTGAAATCTAGAGAAAACAATATTTACCACTTTATTCGCAAAATTGAGGTCCGTTGTGTACTACGATATGGACCAAAAAATTCTAACTTAACATAATTTAGTCAATAACAGAAACAATATAGAAAAAGAAATTAATATCTAACAATACATCTATTAAATCACGCCAGAATGCATTACAATGTTACAAGTTCTCAACAATTCAAATATGGTACACCGTGTTTTGATAACGAAACACGTTATTTTATATATTTATTTTAAAATACACAGATTGTTAGATATTGCACAATTAACGTCCTTTTCTATTATTGTAACCTTTTAACCGCCACAAATTTATTTGACAAATTATTTTCGTGCCCCTATCGCTCTGACGGATTTCCAACTTTTCAAATACACATAAACACATATGGTTATTTTTTCGTTTATTCGTCTGCCTTAATATATTAATTTAAATATAAAAATCTAGGGTTAATTATGTTTGTGGTTAACCTTTTACGAAACAGTTCGACTGATTTTTATAATTTTTATGTATATCTGGTAGGTATGAGAATAGGGTGTATTTCATACTGCTAGGTGGTATCAAGAAAAAAATATTGATATGGCAGAACAGCGTTTGCTGAATCAGCTTGTAAAGTAATAAAATAAAAACAGAATATATAATTAAATGGCAATTTTTTAAAATTACTTGTCTTTGAAATATTTTAAAAACTCTAATATATAAAGCAGATCTCTGAAATTACTAGCTAAATTTAAAAAAAAAATGTTTTTAGATTTAATAGCTCGTTTCAGAAAAGTCATTATAGGCTATTCAACATCACGATATTACCATGGGCGAAGCTGCAGTATATAGCTAGTACAATATGAAGTTGCCGATTTGAATCGCGCGCTAGGGACACGACATTTGCTATAAATCCAAGCGGTCAAAAGATTATTTCATTGCTGCCTTGCAGTTTATTCCATCAATGATTATAAAACACCATAACAAAAGTTCAGATATACACATGTGTTTCAAGTAATTCAACAATTCTTGTTTGCCTCCGAACCGATTAATATTACTACAAAAGTTGGTCTCTTGCATAAGAGTGGAACTGTCAAGTATAGTAACTATATAGAGTATTATCAACATAGATTGCCACATATTTTCTAATTGTATTCTCTTAACTGGTCAAAAGATGTTTAACAGTTAAAAGTAAAACCTAATCTTACTGTTTTGCGCAGTGAAAAGTGCTTTTAACCTGTTAAGTTTTAACAATGACATATATACCTAATGTTTATTTGTATTCAGTCGTTTTTCTCGAGTCCACTGTAATATCAACATTTAATAATATAAAATAAAAATTTAACACGCTTTCAGTTTTAATCTCATAGGTATCAGATAGATTCATTAAAGTTAAGATAATTTTGCTTTAAACATTGTGTGTTGGTAGTAAAACATAGCAAAATATATTTTTTAAACTTTCTACACACAATCTTAACTCTAAACCTAACTAAGATTTTCTTGAAAATTGTTAATATCAAACCCTTTACTATCAAAAATTTTAAAAGTTAATATATTGTTGAATGATTATTAAATTAATATTTTATTTTTATTTATATTATTTTTAAGTGGACGCGACAAAAATATATCTAAGTAATAGAGATGATAAAAAAAAATGTTTTAGCCCAATCGACTTCAGTTTTGTACTTTATAGAAACTTCACTATTTAAGTAGACTGACTAAAAAGTAATTCATTACTGCTCATCATCTTCAATCTACTGTAACTAAAGTAAGTATACTAAGACATAAAAATTAGAAACAGATACATGTGGCAATCCTAGAAATGACTAATCCCTTTATTGACAACTGTATAGAAATTGTTGCTGTATAAAAAATATTCGAGTATAATATAAAAATGTAGGCAAATAGTTGAGGCGGGTACCGATTTGTAGTTTCAAAAACGTAACAAACACACGAAGGAAGATTAAACAAGAGACTAGAAGACATGAAACAGCATAATATGGTATCTAATAGCTAAAACAACTTACCAAATAACATGATTCAGGTAACGCTCCCCCGACACATGTATTTGCGTAGTTTTTATTCCGCAAACTTAATTATTTATACATTTTTGGGTTTGCACAGACGAAGGGACAATCCTTGGGGCACTTTTGTCCGTCAAAATAGGACACAAACTGTGTCGTACTATATACTTTGTGGGAAATACTAAAAAGTATAGCTTCAAAAGTCCTAAAATACGGTCTGTCAGTGAATACTGACAAACCGGACCGCACAAAAGTACGCGAGTGTATCCGAAATTTATAATTGAAGTCTCAGAGCGCATCAACGCACGCGGTGGACTATATTCCGCGTGGAACACTTCTAATATCTTGCCGGCAGACAAATTATTATATATTTTACACGCTTCAAAGACTTGTGTCCTCTATAACCGAGTCCCTCGACAGCGCAAACCCTTATATTGCCTTCCGATATTTATTTTTCTGTACCCATTCATATATTACAAATCGGCACCGGCATATTTTGCTAACAGTGAATCTCGTCCTCCCTCACTGGGGCCTGCGTACAACTCAAATTCTGATGCTAAGAAACAACCTTAGTCTGACCACTGTTTATGATCCCGTGGCAGGCTGACTAAGCTGTGGTCTCTGTCTCGTAGTCCCCCTCGCCCAGATATTCACCTTCTTCGTCTTCAACTTCTTGGGCCTGTTGCTGTTGTGCCAGTAAGTGACCTTTCTTGTACGCTGTCATTTCCTGGAACAATAGAATATACATTACCAACAAAAGCAACCCGCCCGGCTTCGGCTTTTTACCAGTTCTTACATTTTTTTTTTTAATTAAATACAGCTCCTGTTATTCGCTAATAATGTAGCTTTCTATAAGTGAAAGATTTATTAAAATCGGTTAAGCATATTTTGAGTTTATTCATTACAAATAAAAAATAAAATCTTTTTCATAACATTAGTCCGGATGAGAATAAAATGTTGTTCCTTACTCTATCATATCTCGCCTTGTCCTGTTCGGAAAGCGCTTCGTACTTGGACTTAGTCTCTGGATCGGCGGCTGCCCATAACCTGCCTAGCTCCTTAGCGATATCACCCATGGAGAACATCGGATTACTCGCCTTCACCTTAGAACGTTCGTCGTTGCAGAACCAAAAGAATGCGGACCTGAGAATGAATAAATTGTTACGGTGAAATGATAGTAACTTAAATATAATATGGTAGAGGGATTCTTAAAGAGAGGAACTTTTTAATAATGGAATGGAAGCCCTGCCTGCGCTATCGGTATACGCTGATAAAACACCAATGTGAGATGATAAAAAGCAAGAAAGAAATATTTTTATTAAACTTAGATTTAAGCATTTTTTTATACAACTTAGAATGGCAAACAAGCTAACGGCCCACCTGATGAAAACTGGTAACCGTCGCCTATAGACATGAGCAGTACCATGGACATAACAGAGTATACTGTTTCGCCCATACCTCCATGCATTGCCATTCCTGAGGACTCAGGTGTTATTCCTCTGTACCCAGTAAATTCACGCCATATCCCATCCTTCAAACCGAAACACAGCCATGCAAACACAACTGAACAAAATTTCAGCCAAGAAGAACGGGCAAGAAACTCAACTGTTGCTATTTTCAAAAAGTTTAATTATATAATAGATGAGGATGACGTCAAGTCTGCTGACTCATGGTGAACAAATATATCAAGAACTAACCAAATGGTTTCCAAGTAGTACGACACGGGAGTTGACCTCATTACTAACAATCTTTTCCCCCCGTGACAAGAATCAATAGTCCATTACTGGCAATATTCCCAGTCAGGTCGACCTCCACGCGGTCCCAATGGAAACCTTAGTACCCAATATGAACTAACTGACCTCACTTGCATGAACTATAACTGACCCCGCTAGCATGAACCAATGACACGGGCTGTGTTACCATTCTATTTTAACCCATAAAATCTGTGAAGTGATTTTTTGTCGACATCAAATTATGAACAAATCAGACTATGTCAAATATATGGTAATACAATGTCCATTTTATATATATATTTTTTTTTTTATAAAAGTTAAACGTCAATTATGTGCCAAACCAATATTCAATGACCCAAAGATATCTGCAAACTGGCAAAATTGAGTCTACTGCCACTACGCTGGTATTGGTACCTAAGACAAAAAGAGACTATGGCACAATTAATTACATTATAAAAGCTCGTTGTAATTCTAATGTTAGTTTGATCATTTGGAGAGGATGGATGAAAGAAGATTTACGAAAGAGATTTATCGAGCAAGAATGAATGGAGATGTCGGCAGGGGCCGCCCTAGACGGACGTATGTCGACCAAATAGGCGACGTGCTGAAGAAGGGCCAAATTAAAAGTACCCGTAACCGGCGAGCGTGTATGAAAAGATTGATGAATGTGGAAGAAGCGAAAGAGGTTTGTTTGAATCGAAGCATTTGGCGTTCCATTGTTTCTGCCTATCCTAATAGGAGACAGGCGTGACAGATATGTATGTATGTAATTCTAATTCCAATATTCACTAAATAATTATTCAACGCCACTATATTTTATAAGTTAGGCTCTCGGTTACAATTTTATATTATTACATAATAACATGAATCATATTATCTGATCTCATAATTTAATTCTCACGATTCTAAATATAGTTGTGGCAGCTCCTATAAGAAACACCATAATTATTTTTATACGCCATGTTGTGTGATACAAACAAATGAATAAACATGACAGTTCAAAGAATATTTATAAGCGCAGATAAGCTTTTGTAATTTATTACACTCGGCACGGTATATTATAGTCACAGTGTAATAAGTAAAATATACGTTATTGTATGAAGATTCTGCTAATTTTCCGATATGTCAATACCGTAAAATCATAACAGGTTTTACTTCGATATATTTATATAAGCGAATTTATCACATCAGCCTTTTAACTGCCCCCTGATGAACATAAGCCTCCCCCTTGAAGATTTTGTCAGTAGTTGCCACGCTTGGCAGGCAGATTGGCAACCGCAATTAGGCTTTGGAGATACTTTAAGATGGACGCTGGTGCCCATCCCTCGCCCTCTCTTAGTCGCCTCTTACAACACCCATGGGAAAGGAAGGGGTGGCCTATTCTATGCCGGGACCACACGGAATTTATTAATATAATAAAATTGTAACTAAACGATATCTGTAAATAGGAGATATTTAAGAATAAAATATAAGAGGGCTCTTATTAAAACCAGCAGATGCTAAAACAATATTTTTTTCTGTCTTTCTCTGACGGTCTATCTGTATATTTGTTACAGTCATCACGCAAAAATTACTGCATCAAATTGATTGAAATTTTCACAATTATATTCCTAAATATCCAACTTAAAAACTGGTGTATGTTTTATTTTGATAGGCCAATTACGCCATCTATAAGTGGTTTATTTTATTGCTTTTCTCACATCTAAAATCCACGCGTACAAAGTAGGGGCAAAAAGCTAATTTAATAATATGTTATGATGTAGACAAATATCAAAAACAAAAACAGCGCAACTTTTTCACTACAAAAACTTACGAGATTTCATGTAAAACCGAGACAGTTATTTTAGTTAATAACTATGGAACCACCTTAGATTATATAGATAGAGTGTCTCTATAGAAATGCTTTGAGAAAAACGGGTCAACTTTTTCATACAATTTTACGTGATAAATAGTTACGAGTGATTCCTTTATAACTTCTATATTTATTTTGTCTTATAAATTCTGTACCTGTTTAATGCTTTACGCATTTTATTTATTTAATAATACGTCAAAATATATTTCATGCGTAAATATATAAAATACTGATAAAAAAAAAGATGAGTCAGCTAATTTGAAAATAAGCTGACAAAAAATTAACCCACTTTTGAGGCTCGATGTTTTATCTATATAATCTAAGGGAAGCACCTATTCAACAACTTTGTTATAAATTATTATTTAATCAATTTTTTTTTATACAACTTAGATTGGCAATTGTTTGCCATTCTAAGTTGGTTGGTTAGAATGAAAAACAATTCATGACAAACAAACACAGCCATGCAAACACAACTGCTTCACGGTAGAAACACGAATGGGACAGAGGTACCCAAGCAATCGACTTTTTTACAGTCTTACTCCCTCCCTCAGCCGTATATTTTCGATATTAGACATATTTATTTCTATAATAATTATAATGACTTAGCAATTGTACTGCAACATATTCTACTAATAAAATACTTAGTAATCGACATAGTTGATTTTGTATTACATTATAAAATACACTGGGTTGGCTGGAAGAGATCTCTTTCAGAGATAAGTCCTCCCTTGCTAACAAGTTGTTAAACTAATCGTGGCATATATTGTTTAAGTGCAATAAAGAATATATATATAAAAGTAAGTATATATACTAACTATAATACACACATGTCGTTTATAATCTGTAAAAAGCATTTACTACACAAATAAACTACAAAACATGGAGCCAAAGGTCGTGAGTTCGATTCTTTTAACATTAAAAGCTTAGTGTTAATTTAACACTTAAAAGTGTTGTGCCGTTAACGAAACAAATTACTCAGAGAGGCGGCAGTAGACACGCCCCTTGGAACATGGGATTCAAAGCTGGGATTAATGGGGGCATTGCATTTATCACATTCACCGCAACGCGTAACGCATGTTCTTTGATGTCCGTGATAATGGTCGTTGGTTATAATTAAAATATAAGGTTTGTTTTTCTATCTTTACTTAATATTTTGTTTCTATAAATGAATAATAAACATTTCTGGATGAAACAGTAATTGTCACAAGATTTCCTTTATTTCCAAACCATCCTCGCCTATCATCTCTCACTGGTGCTCTGCCAGCGTATACCGTTAGCATAGGCGTGGTTACCATTCCATTATGACTTATTAAAAAAAATGTTTTCGTTTCTTTTACTTTATGTTCTTTATTTATAAATATTAGACCAAGTGTTAATCCATGTCTATGTACCGTTGAGACATAAAAAACATGTAACAGTTTCTAGGTTTCTTTAGAAGCGTCATCAGTTTGTTGATTATTCCAAATAGTAAAAAACAACTAAATGACTCGTCGTACATAAAGGATGTCTTAAACACTTAACGCCTTATTTAGAAAAACGTAAAACCACTCATAAACCTATTTTAGCTATTGAACTGTTTTGTCTTTTTCTTTTATATTAAATTCTCAATTTTAAAGAAAGTAACGAGACAGTGTAATAGGCATATAGAAGTTTTTTGATTCTATGAATAAGGGCATAATAGATCAGACACTTTTTTCCTTTAAGTGTAAGATACTTTTTATCATAAGAATACTTTTCATCCGCAAAAATTACATCTAATATAGTTTTTACACACAACTTCGTTAACGTTAACAAGAGATATTGAGTAACCAAGATCAAAAAGTGGCCTATATGCTTCTCCATCCTATCGAATCAAAGGGTACCTTCATCATCATCATAATCATCATCATCATATCAGCCGTTCACTGTCCACTGCTAAACATAAGCCTCCCCCTTGGAGGAGTTTTGCCAGTAATTGCAACGCTGGACATGCGGATTGGCAACCACAGTTTGGCTTTGGAGATATTTTAAGAAAGACGCTGCTGCCCATCCCTCGCCCTTTATATTATAACTCATGATAATTGGTTAAGTCGTCAAGGCATTCAAGATGCCAAAAAATAACAAACAAACTCACTTTCACATGTATCACATTAAATGAACTTGGCCCACTTAAGTGGCTCAGGACCGTTCCTTAGACTCCACTCCACCGATGGACATAAATGACTAAAATGGCTATAGTGATGATATAACATAATCAGTGACCATCAACTCACAGCGAGCGCTTGGGCGCGTTCGGGTCCTTCACTTGCCGCTTGCGGCCGCGGACTTTCACGTCCTTGGGCGGCACGTAGTTCTGCATCTCGAGGTCATACCGCCGCTTGTCCTGTTCAGCCATCTCGTGGAACCGCTGCTTCTCCTTTTCCGACATTGTCTGTGAAATTTTATATAACATATTTACCACGCCTATTCAGTATTCAATTTGTGCAATGGAAATCAGCAAGAGACAATAGAGTTCGCTTAAAGAACCGACAGAGCTAAAGGCAGGTTCTTGAGTAGCAACCTAATTAACATATTGTAGTACGAGTCTCCACTAGATGGACTAGAAGGACCTCTTTCAACCAGTCAAGCTATTATAATTTTAAGGAAAATATGCAATATACCCATATTTAAATATGTTAGAAAAAGAGGAGAACGAGCTCAGAACAACTCAGTATGACAATCTATGTAGAACATGTTCAGCATTGGTAAATGTTTGATTTCTGATACATACATTACCGTATATTAAATTTTCTTCGAGCCTCGTTATTAGGTGACTCCAAAAATCTATGCACATATTTTTGCTTTCCATGCTAGTCTTGATACAGTAAAAACATAATACTCTATTACAGTTATTTTTTATACACAGGCTTGGCAAACAAGCTAAAAGTGATTACAGTAGATTAAAGGCAAACGACGTCATAGATTGATGTCTATGATCTTTGATCAGATCTGTGATCAGCGGGTCTACCATGAAATGAAATTCCGAAATTTCGGACTCAATTTTATGTTTTTGTTTATACCAAAATCGGACCAATATATGGAGTTTAAGATTTCGTTCGTCATACATCCTATCATAAAAGCCCAAGCCCAATATTTTAACATTTTTAATATTTCCAAACGGCATGTATTATGTAATTTTAACATCAAATTTCTCTATCGTTTGGCTCCGAAATTTCGGAAAACATTTCATGGTAGGCCCTCAGAATACACTATGGCGCTCAAAAAGGAAAAGCAAGATACTTAACAATAGAAATCAAAGATGAGATGCATAGAGAAACGTATTGATATAACAGGAACCAAATACGTACATTCCACCTCTCGGCACACTTCTTAGAGAAGGCCGCGAATATAACATTCTCATCGGGGTGTTTCTTCTTGTGCTCCTCGCGGCAGGTCTGCACGAAAAACGCATACGCGGTCATGCGCCCGCGCGGCTTATTATACGGCCTTGCCCGTGGCATTCTTCCCTTGTTCCCTGCCGCCTGCGCTATTAACGCTTGCTGTTGTTGGAGCTCCTGGCAGTAATTACGGAATACAAATTAAATGGTTGCTAGTAAGAACAGATACAAATATTTAAAAAGAAAGAGTATAATAACTCGTATCTCAATGATAGTAATCCTAAACCTGTCACGGCGATTCGGATATAACTTTTCCCAAGGTAAATGGGTCACGGGTCGAAATTATTACGAGCTACGCGGTTGCGTAATGGTTTTACCCATCCATATCGCTTGGGAAGAGTTGTTCATTATAAAACATGTATTACTGTATTATAAGATTATAGTTATATGGTGTTATTGTATCTATGGTTTTATTACATACTAGCGACCCACTCTGGCTTTGCACGGGTGCAATATTTGTTTGTGTAACTTTTAAACTGTTCAATACATTTTATGAAGTGTGTGAAAGTACTGCACTAATATTCCCTAAGATTTTAAAATGAACGACTAGTAGACTAGTTTGGCTGAGATATTAAACTAAAATAAATGGTGTCGAGGACTTTTTTATAAAGCTGAAAGTAGTAAATACTTATGCTATAGATTTATTTTTTAATTCAAACAGTTCAGGCAGCACACGCCATATTAAACAATTTTTGCCCACTTCAATTACATTTATTGTGATTAATTATTAAAAATATATGTTTACCAAAATAAAAAGTAGTTAATACAAGATTAATATACCTTTCTAACAGTGGAAGAATATTCAAAATCGAATCAGTACTACCGGAGATTAATCCCAAACATCTAAACTCACAAACTTTACCTCATTATAATATTAGTAAGTATAGTATGTATTAGTATAGATTCGTTCGCTGCATTTGTAATTGTTACCTATATATGATTGTTTCCATTACATCTTTTATATGAAAATAATTAATGTTAATAAAATGTATTTGTTCAAGTGTTTTATACATTTGAACAAATACGTTTTCTGTATGTAAAAAATGAAGAAATGAGTCTTTACAGATGCTTCACATCCTGTTTTAATGTAAAAAACTATATAAAAAACAGTATATAAACTAAAAGTTGTTTCAAATACGCAGTGCATTTTATGATAATTATAAAATATGTACCTGGAAAGTAGCTGATTGTCGTTGTAACGCAGCTTGGATTTGTTGTTGTTGAACAGCTTGCATGCGTTCATGCAGGTTCTGTTGTTGTTGCTGCAGTGTCTGAGCAACTTGCTGTTGTAACGCAGCTTGAGCCTGTACAAGCGCTTGGGCCTGAGCCTGGCTCACTTGTAAGGTCTGCTGTAAACTCTGTTGCAAAGGTTGTTGTTGTTGCTGTTGCTGCTGCTGTTGTTGCTGTTGTTGTTGCTGCTGTTGTTGCTGTTGTTGTTGTTGCTGCTGCTGCTGCTGGTGCTGTTGCAGCATCTGCTGCAACGTTTGCTGCTGACCTTGCTGCTGCTGCTGTTGCTGAAGAGATTGCTGCAATGTCTGACTTTGTTGCTGCAATGCTTGTTGTAAGTTCTGTTGTTGCTGCAGTTGCTGTTGCAACTGATTCTGTTGTTGAATCGCTTGATTCTGCTCCTGTTGAGATTGCTGCTGTTGTAAAGTCTGGTGGTTTTGTTGAATTCCGTTTGCCTGTTGATTTCCCTGATCAGGATCAGGGCTCGACTGATTTTGAGGCTGTAACAAAATATAAGATATTATATATTGTCCAAATTTGACTCATAATAAGTGTGCTAAATGTTATAAAGCGAGGTTGTCTAGCAATTGGCATGTTGCTGCTACATCAACCATTTATTTACTGAAATTGTACATATATGATGTCTTAAACTTTAGTAAACTTATAAAAATTATAAGATACTTTGTTTCAAAAATTAATTTAGTTCGATACTCAAGTGCCAAGGGACGGAATGTAAATAATACGCAAAATGATTGCCTCCGTTCTCGATCAATATCTATTCTTATTAACCAAATGGTACTGTTGGCGATTCTCTTTGCCTGAATCATTGAATTTGTTTACACAATCTAATTCGATTCAAAAGCCATTTATAATAATAATGAAGTATCCGTTGTTATTTGTGAGTTATGGGTGTTATTAAATCAGACTACAAGTTTATTTTTTTTTTGTTATGATTTTTTAGTTTTTATATCTTCCTTACATACATATTATACCTATTACCTATCGAGCCCTGAAATTATTTTTCAAATGAATTTTAGCTACCTTGTTAAACTTGAATCATGACTATTACTATGAAACAATTGTTTTTAAAAAATTCAGCTTAAGATAATCACTAATTATAAAAATGCATTAGTACATACTTGGGACAAGAAAGTTACTAGTATTTGATTTCGTCCAGTATTTCCAATGACTTATTTTAAAGAGAGAGGCGCGCCTCCCATCTAAAGGGGAGCGCGCAAGCCAGTTCAGTAGGGCGCATGGACTCAAAATTAACTTCGAAATTGTAAAACGGGACCCTTACATGTTACTTTGGGAAGCTCTTATCTAAATAAATAGAATAATTAAATACTATTAGCCTGATTGAATTCTCTGCTTGCCCCAAGATGGTAAATAATGACTTTACATACAAATAAATACATGTTATATGCGCTATTTTTATTACGTACAACAATGTCCATGAAAATTAAATAAATATTTATATACCTAAAAAAGCAATATTCATATAAATTTCGTCATACTTGTGAACGAATGTTACTTTACAACTTTCCATCAGGTGGACCGTCAGTTTGTCTTCCATTCTAAGTTGCATAAAAATACCTTGTTTTTCTGTTTCGTATGTTTAAATGTATTAATTGGCTATGCTAATGATCTTCTATGCTCAAACACATTTATCTAAAAAGTAAGAGAGACTATGGAATTTCTAGTAAGATCTCAAACTTTGCAAAGAAGTTCCGAACCCAGCACTAGAATAGAAAAAAGATATAATTCAAAAGAAATTTAAATTAATTTATTTCTATTATAAATTTATACTAATGTTATAAAGAACATTTGATTTTTTGATTGTAATAAAAAGTAATTAACCGATTTTAAAGATTTAACTATAAAAAACTACACTCTCAGTTAATACTATAGGCTAATATCCTATTTTCGTAAATTCTATCTACCCTGGCAAAGCCGGGCCGATTCGTTAGAACATAATATGAAGGTAAAGCTTCGAGTTCACTCGACTATTTATATATGGAAACTGTAATGTTTAATTTCGCCACGTCGTCAAATTAGAAAGAACCACTTTGTATGTACCCGGCATAGATTAGGCCACCCTTCCTTTCCTGTTGGTGTCGTAATCGACTAAATGGTAGAGGGATGAGCAGCAGCGTCCGTCTTAAAACATCTCTAAAAGCCTAACTGCAGTTGCCAACCTGCCTGCCAAGCATGGCTACTACTGGTAAACTCCCCTTACGAGCAAGGCTAATGTTCAGCTATGGACAGTTAACCACCCCCTGTCTATCTTCGAAGCTACTAAGCCTAAAATACAGGAGTGTTAATAAATAAAAACCTATGATATTTAAAGTAACATAGGAAATTTATCAATATTTGTGCGCATATATTTAATTTGCTGTTATAATGTTACAACTAATTTGCTACGAATACACTAGGCAATCAACGTACGGAACCATCTCCACGCGAGTTTAACTGGAACTTGCCCAGGTTTCTTTTTAATTAATCGCATCAATGCTCTAAGTATTACTTTACCAGTGTACATTCAAATTTCTATTACATATATTAACATTTAAATGCTATGGTTTTTTAGTTTTAATTCTACAAAATAAACGAAAAATGGAGATGCCACAATGAAAGCTGCATTGAATATCGGAAGATAATGTCCTTCCGCTCCTTTCCGTTCTTTTTCAATGAACGCGCTTTTTCAATTCTTTTAATTCCGGAACTGAATATAAGCAAATTTTCCGGAACCAGGTACTTTTAAGCGTATTTCAAAATTAGAAGCTTTTCGATTTGTTTTATTTTCAACCGACTTTTAAAAGACGCAGGTTCTCAAATCGGTTAATTCTTTTATGTATGTTACTTCATAAACCTATCGGTTCTAAACCGATTTGGAAAATCCTTTTTTTATCTGAGAGGATATACTTGCAGATTGGTCTCATAGAAATTTTATCAAAATAAATAAAAATAAATGATTTTGTCATAACCGAAGTCCGCTTTTTTGGTACGTAATCTTAATTACTTAATTATATCTTAATTAAATTTGCCAATTCTGAACGGACTGACAACTATTTTTATAGAATTTACTGCCCTGGTCCCATAATAATTTTATCACTCATAAAAGCGCTTTTCCAAACTAAAAAGAAATTGGTATATTTGTATATCTATTTATAACGTCACTAAATTAAAGTCTATAAAAGAAGTAATTACATTAGCAATAGGGATGGGTCATATAATCAACCTCGGACAACTTGTCCGAATAGGTAAGTCCTACTTCGACTGAGAGGTGAACCGACGAATCCAACTCGGCTGAGTAGCATTCAAAAAACTACATCATATCTTTTCATCCAAAATACCCCAGTTTGAAGATGAAAATCTTTAATTAATGCATGTTGCCAGTGATGACTTATGGCACCGAAATATGGTCTTACACCATTACCCGTATGCAACAGATAAAAATTACTCAGCGAACTATGGAGAGGGCTATGCTCGAAGACTCTTCATGATAAAATTTGAAATAAGGACATACGCAAAAGAACCAAAATAACCGACATAGCCCGAAGGATAAGCAAGCTGAAGTGGCAATGGACTGGCCACATAGCTCAAAGAATTGACAACCACTGGAAAAATAAAGGTGCTTGAATGAGGAAAGATGCAGTGTAGTAGTAGTAGTGTACCTTCCACTAGATATTGGCTGAGATGATGATGATGATGATAATGGTATATTATTAACAATTGGGTTCGGCTTCACATGTATAAAAAGAATTTACAAATATAATATATTTTACTCACTGATAATGTGTTGGTTCCTATTTTTAATATTAATATAGATATAATTATATGGTAATTTTTCCATAAACAAGAAACACATTGTCCCAAAGTACATTTTAATTATTTGATGATATATTACTATTTTTTTAATCTGTTTTTAAATAATGATAATATGCTGACTACTCTTATCAGGGTCAAACTCCTTCAATAATATAACATTATTGTAATAAATATATATTGTAATAAATTCTTTCTAAATACTCTGGTATGTTATGGTATGTCCTCTAGTACATCTCATTTTCATAATAGCAAGTCTTATGTTAAATAATTTAATACCTTTATTAAAATAGTTGACTTTAAACATATTTATGTAAGCAATACAAGAATACAGATACCATGTTGATAGAATACAGTGATAATTAATAGTAAAGAATATTTTTAATGCATGCATGCATTTTCTAAAAAAATACACTTTTATGATACCTAAGGAAACAGGCATGTGATTCAGGACCTACATTTCCCATTTAAATCTAATGCTCAAACTTGAACTACTGGTGATCTACCTCAACATTGTTAGACTATGATTATTCAACTCAGAGGCTGCAAGTGTGTGTGATGCACAATTATCATCTATGTAGGGTGTATTGTGGTATACATATGAGTTTTTCACACATCGCTATCTACAAATTGATTGTAATGAAATGCTTAAGCACCCCTAATCTAATATATCCTACTAAAACTATACATACTTTTTAAATGTTTGTTATTCAATCACGCTTCAAGGCAGTAAATAAAATTTGTATAAAATTTAACACACAGATGAACCATATTCTTGTTTCACACATAATTTATTTATTTATTTATTGGAAAACCAACAGCATAATGTACTTTATATACTTTTACTTTTGTAAAACCAATATATAGACAATCCATTAATAATGTAATTTTAATATGGCCCTAGTCACAACTGTAAAATTACAAGGTTAACACAAAACTAACCTTATAACTTTACAGCTATTCAATCAAAGGCGAATCATATGTCAACAGCCACTAGATAAGTATGTTGTCTTCCAAACTCACAAATTTAGGAATCCATTTGTATTCTTCTCATCTTCTATCAGAGAATATATCATGCATTTTTTTTAGAACCATGCGTAAGAAATCAAAATTACAGTAAACAAAACCCTTTTATTGTCCATTTTATTACTTACACCTTATATATTTCAATATTAAAAAAGTAGTCTGTTTCTTACAAGGAGCAATTAAAAATTTTAATAAGGCAATTTTTGATCAGTAGATATTTTTTTTATATATATAATAAAATAATAAAAAGTGTGCTCAATTGACATAAAAAAAGATAATACTTGCCAAAAAAAATACAGGAAAATAAACACGGAGACGACGCCAAAATGTAAAATAATTAGACACAATTAGAAACAATTTATCTTAACTAAAAATTTAAGTAGATACCATTCTCCAAACTAAAAGAAAAAACGATAAACTAAAATCCTGAAATGAAGACTAAAAAATACAATTGTATTGAAAGATGTAAATTTTGCATAGACAAAAACAAAAATTTAAAATAAGTAATTAAAAATACAATTTGTCACTAAATACCGAGTAGTATTAATTTATCCACAATGGGAAAGGCAAAGGAACTTAATCATACAGCCTGATCTTCAAAAATTTGTCAATCAATGAGGTCGATTCTGAGATGCCATTTTCTAAACCTATCTCCTTAACTAAAATTTCAATTTGATATCACAAGAATTTTTTTTAATAGGGACCAATAACAACTAATTTTTTAATAGATTTAAGTCAAAATTAATATAACTTTATTTATAATGATCCATAAAGCAGTAATTTCGGAAAATCATCCATTTAAAATATTACCTCAGAATAAGCCCCAATGTCTCAAACAAAAAATAAAAACACATATATATATTATATATGATAGATTTACGACTTTGGTTTTTTAGCCATCTTTGATTTCAATTACTTTATTTGCAGTGATTATTTTTCTTGAAAAATGTTAATTGAATCCATTTTGATGTAATTAGTGTTTTAATAGTATGGAGGATAAATTCATAGACAATTGGTTATGTTTTGAAGAATAGATAGCAGGAGGCGGGGTATCTCTTTAGGTAGAAATAGTGCTGCATACTGAATGAAAATGAATGAGTAACTCATAATAATGCTTTAAAAATTTTCAGTAATTGAATATACTTTTTATATTTGGACGAAGTACTTTACTACTAAATTATTTATTTATTATGTGAGTATTTCACCATTTTTATACATTGATAGGCTTGAAAATTCTTTTAAAAAACTTACGATTATACTCAATATAATGAACTTTTAATATATTATTTTGCTTTTTTCTTTCTCATAACAAATAATGTATATTAGCCGAGTGTATTATATTATAACTACGTTTATTAAGATTACTGAAGTAAGAATACTATTATATAGTACTAGTTATAATTATTAAATTTGGAAAATGTCCGTACCGTAGGAGACGAAGTTTGTTGAGATTCAACTGTTCCTGATGTATACCACCATGGCTGTTGGGCAGATTCTTCCCTGGTATTTGACCCAGGCATTAAACGATAATCATAGCTAGTCGTGGAAGTATCTCCACCATTGTTTGAAAAGCCACCAGTCATTTTATATGTATAAAGTTGATGTGTAGCTGCCGCAGTACTTCTGGCGACTTCTTCATTTAATTGTTGTTGGTGCTGTAGTTCACCTGCGCCACCCGGCCACCACGAGGATTCGTCGCGCGCACCCCAAGCGCCCCCCGTCGCGCCTCTGTCCCCCATATTACAGTCGCCGCTTTCGGACAACCAGTTTCTTTATGCCCTCGGGCTATGTACTTCAAAATATTCTTTGTGTTTTAGCACTTTTAAGAAACATAACTTTCGGTCTAACTTACAGTATACCCACTTATTGTAAAGTAGATAGATATTTTCACCTGTATCACTATCACTCTTTACACAAATCAGTTTTTATAACAAAGACTCAATATGTCTAGGCGTGGTAAAACATCATCAATGTATATTATATCTAAATTAACAATACTGCACAAGGTCTCACTTGTTATTTAATATAAAAGCTGCCGGCTGTAAGTTACTCTCCACGCGCGTAGGTTTTGTCTTCGTTTGTACTTAAAGTCAATAAAGTTGGCAACGTCGCATAACGAGACGCTAAACAAGTGCACACAGGCGCCCTCAACGCGCAGCGGCCGATACGGAAACGATCGAATATATACGAAGAGAGCCCGAATATACACGAAACGGCAACAAGTTCGTCCAGCAACCGGTCAATAAGACGATTAGCGCAGCTAGAGCAATCCGCCGTCGTATTGAAATTCTTTTGTTTCGAAATTAATAATGTTAATGTAATTATAGTTGTATTAAATAAAATATAATTAATAGGAAAATACTAATATACCTCACCTTCTGTCTCATATTCCCAATTAAGATACAGATTATTTAGTAATAAACAAATTATGTAAATATACGTGAAAATAAATAACTATACTACAGCTTACCTATTATATAAATGATATAGATTATCTACCTGCTAATAATAATATTAAATAGCAAAAAAAAAGAGTAATGCATTAGTAAACTAAATTATTTTCAGTCAGCTGTTAATATTTGTTGGTCAATATAGTTTGTAATATAAATAAATTTAATTTGTATGTAAAGCTTGAGATTAAACAATAGATCAAATTTAACTGTAAATTAGAAATTAAACACATTAACAGTGTTTTGTAACGCCAGATATTATTTCATGGGATTTATGAGTACAATTTAAATGTAATTTTATCGTAGTTTCATCTAACCTGTTTTCACAAGAATTCTTAAAAGCTTCTTTCTCTTCTTTCTACTGCTCACATCTAATTTAATTAAATTGCTAAAGATTTGGCTGTATGTTGGCCAATATTTTTTTTTTTCACTTTTTTATACTTACACATTATTAAATATTTAATAAAGTATTATGTAAGCCGTAATTATTACTTTACTCTTACTGCAAACGAACATTGACGTATGATAAATATAATATACGTATATAATATATCAATTCAAATATGCAATTTAGATTTATATATTTTTACAATGACAATAATAATAAATAACAAGCAATAATATTTATTTGAATTTACATGAAAATCGCTTATATTTTTTAAAATACGTAATATTAGTAATAATATTCTCAGAATAAACCTTTTTTTTTTACTTATACCTATATATTATAGTCAATCAAGTAAAAAATACTATCATTTTTTTTTCTATATGTATTAAATATTTATAATATATAGTTAATCAAGAAATACCATCAATACTATTTACCAAAAATTAAAACCAAGTAAATAGAGTAAAATCGGAATCGTTGCATACTTTTAAGGAAATGAGGAGGAAACATGGGCCTAAAACCAGTAGAAAATGTTGAACCCCCTATATTAACACGGTGCATTCCGTTGTTAAGCCGGTTAGGTTACTTCTTAACCTAACCTCAAAATTTTTGTCATATTTGAATGTTTAATTCACAAAACTTCCCTCGTTATTTATTCTTAGCATAGTATGTATATCTATTCTTAGCTACGTACATTACGTATGGCTAATGACTTCAATTTCACCCTGTGTAAAATGTTAATTTTTGCATGACTTTTAAGTTTTATTTAAACAATGTATGTACAATAAAAACATTTTGATTTGATGTATGAAACATCTATATTAAGTAGGTATCTATTTAATATACAATGCTTTGATTTTTTCTTAGCATTACTTAATATTATAAATGTAAAAATGAATTTGTTTGTTTGTTACCTCTTGGCGTATTAATGACACAATCATCGTTAAATCTTATATAAATATACTATTTGATGAAATTAAACCTAAATGTTCCAAATTATGTCTATATTAACTTCAATAAAAAAAAAATTACGTAAATCGATTTAGAATCTAACAAGGTGTTTAATATAGATTAAATTTTCGTGTAATGTCAGCTTTTAGCAAATTTAACAAAATTATAATATTATTAAGCAAAAAAGCGCTATCAACGATACAAAATTAACTCACCGACGACATAGCCCAACAGAAATTTTGATGGACGAACAAATAAAAATTGCGTTACTACTTCGATGACGTCAACGGGAAACACATATTAGAAAGCCTACAACAATACAAAAATAAATGTCAATAAAAAACGTCTAAAACATGTTATATCTTTTGAGATATTAATGAAAAATTTATGGATTTAAATAAGAAATGAATAAAATTATAGAGGAGAAGGAGAATTATAATGCAAGAAATAGCATGCTTTAAATAAAAGTGAAAGTATAAACAAACGCTGACAGTAGAAATAAAATACCAAGAGTATGTTGAAGTAAATTGTAGTTGGACTAATATTATTCTTTAAGTTATTAAAGTTTAAGTAATGGTTTCAACTGTGAGTGCGATAAAAATCAAACTAGGTAAATGGTTATTATTTAACGCGCTTTAATCTTTTCGTTGAAAATTTGCAAACTATTTTGTAATCACTTACTAACATCCAATTAAATTTGGGGCAGTTATATAAATTGGGTGGTAATGCAATGTCATGGGTACCATTGAATTAGTTTGATGATGAAGATGCTATAGATAGCTCTAAACTACACATGATTAATCTGTCCTCCAATTTAAGCTGGTTCGATTTGTTATAATAGGTATTGATGTAGTATTTACTATATAGTTTTTTTTACAATAAACGCTAATTTGTAAAACCATTTCCGCTTTTTTTTTTTAATTATTCAGAAAATTTTGACAAAAAAAAATGGTAATTATAAATAAACAAACAACTGTGACAATGTTTTAAAATGTAATTTGTTATAAATCTTATAATAGCCTTGGAATATCTATCTGTCTGCAACAATTTCCTATACTAATTGTATTAATACATATTCAAAGTCTCCTATTTAATTATTTGAGCTAGTACAGTGTAGTAAAATGGGATAAAAAATTCTGTGACCATGCGTTAGCCAAATTATTGCCTGGAGCATTACATTTTATTTGTATTCGAAAGGTTTCATATACTACGTTCAAATAAGAAATAAAGTCAAATTATTAAGTTCAATACTGATTGCAAAAAAATTAAGGACGAAGGAAGAATACAGAAAAGTCTTTTTACTACTGTATGTAATATTTTATTATTGTTCTAATCAGCATCTATTGGAATTATCCCTGGTGTTATAGGGTACGGTAATATTTTACCATCAGAAAATTTGTATGGTTGTTTGATAGTATCTTGAAAAGAGTGAATGAGAAACGAACTTTAATTAAAACAATAGAGAATAGAAGAAGCAAAATACTGAGCCACCTTATACGACATGACGATTTTTTTAAGAGCATAGCAGAAGGAAAAATAGAAGGCAAAAGAAGAAGGGGAAGACCAAGGAATAACTACATGGGACAGATAAAAGAAACACTAGGTGTCATGTCGTCAAGGTCACGAGGTCAAGGATATGGCCTGGGATAGAACTGACTGGAAGAAGATGTATGAATTATTTGCACCGACAAGAGGAAACTCTTAAATGAAAAGAAGTTTGATATTATAAATAAAATATAATACCATAGTAGTAAAAAAATCAAGATGATTTCAGCCATACTTCTTATATATATATATATATATATATATATATATATATATATATATATATATATATATATATATATATATATATATATATATATATATATATAAAAGTGCGAAATGATATGAATTCTAGAATTAACGCTGTTTTTAAATTGCTTATCGTAGCCACCAATATAACTGAATATGAGTGAGCATTAAATGGTTGTAAAATTCTCCTCAATGAAATGGTTGCCCTAAGTTCCATGTAATACATGGAGTACTATTTATTCTTCCTGATTTAATCACCTTTACATTACTCTTTCCGTTATTGGACTGATTGTACTTCTGCATATGTCAGTCAACGAGGAACAATATGTTTGGTAATAATTGGAACTAACATTCCCTGGACAAAATTTAATAATTGTTCGCCATAGATCTTGCTACCTTCCACCAGCAAATAGGGTAGTACTGTGATCCCTGTGGCTACATTGTTATGATCCGCTTACTTACTTTATATCTGCGTTAACAAAGAAAAATAAAATGTAGAGCAGGTATGGCTTCTGGGTGATATGTGCCTGCATCTAACATCCATCATAATAACTTGAGGTTGACTTAAACCTATATATGAGTTTTATAAGCAAAAAAACAAGTATTTTTTTATAATATAGGGGGCAAACGATCATACGGCTCACTTGATGGTAAGTGACTACAGCCGCCCATAATAGTCTGTACTACCGGCTTTTTAAATAGGAATATGCTCTTTTCTTATCGGTTATGATGTCGTCTCGGTTCTGCTGAAAGTTGATTCCAAAGAATGGTTGTGCGTGGAAGAAAGTGCCTTGAAAAACGAAGTACAGAAAAAAGATGCGATAAGTAAAGGATCATGATGTGATTTTACGAAGTATGCTAAGCTACGGCCCTGCACCATGCAAGAGTCCGAATATACATTCATATCCTTCGGGACGCCATCATAATTATATATAGGTATGTAACTAATATTCTGATATGATAATAATCATTATTTATCTCAAAACTACGACATACTGCTGAAAAATACCACACTATGTAAATTTATAATAGAGGTTCTCCCATAATTGTCATTGATACATCATAAGTCGAAAACAAATAATGCAATTTGCCAGTGATATCTGTACATACCTATTATAGTCTTTTCAGTCCAAGTGCATAAGATAAAACATGATTAACAGTTAAGTGACACAAAACTTATCATTTATTACTCTTGCATGATATAAGACAGCGTTGTAATAATATCATAACTAATTACTTATTGTATTACGTATATATGAAGTAAGTAATTCCTATTATATAAATATAAAATAAAATTTAAATCTTAAGGAATTAATATTAATTATTGACACCAACAGATTAACGTTAAGTTACGTAGAAATACTACATATTAGTTTGAATACAACGTCAATGTACAATATACGTGAAATAGCTAAAAGTTTTGAACTCCTTGTTGGCTAATCTAGCTCATAAATTTGATTCTTTTAAGTTTCAGTTATTACATCTTGTAATAAAAAAGATATACCTAATTATATTTTTACATTGCACAAGGATGTAATATAGCAGTACAATTATAGCGTACGAAGTCATAAGACCTTAGTCATCAGTAATAGCAACGCATGAGGCATATAAGCAGCACTTCATAGACACTATGATAGCGTCTGTGAGGTACTATTTATGTTATTAACTTGTTTGTTTTTCTAAGATTATTCCTTTCATAAAAAAAAAAATACGGAATCATATATAAATTATTAATTACAATTATTCGTATATATTCATATATAGTGGGTCCCCATAATCAATCAGTATTGCTAAACATAGGCCACTTTCGGGCACTCTACTAATCCCAATCTTCAACATTTCGCTTCGGTGATTGGTCCAAGATTTATTAGGTACTGTATCACCTTAAACAACAATCACGAAGTGACATAAATATATCGTCAATAAATTTAAATGTATGGAAGATACATCGTTACGTATGTATATATATGTTTATTTTTTAAAGCAATAATATTTTTTTTATTTTATTTATTCATAAACAAAAATTTGTATTTGAATGTCATAGTATATACAATATAAAATGAATAGGAAAATAATAAAACAATAATTGTTTAATATAAGTAAAATTAGCCACAAGATTTTCATATTTACTAATACAGGCAAAAGAGAAAATGCAAAAATACAGTTGCATTCGCTCCCATCCTCACCCTTGGCATGTTCCATCTGCAAAATTCGACTCAAAAAGACAGGATATATTTCCCAATGGTTCTTAAAAATGTTAATGAAGGACATTCGAGAAATACATCTTTTTTACATACAATAGTACGACTTAATTTTTACTCGGATTTTTCGGCTGTGATTTCCTTCTTTCCATAAATCAAAAATATGATAAAAGGTTATATATTTTCCGGATCATGAGTTCATATTAATTTTTAGAAATACATGAAAAAGATGGCAATCAATGCCCCTAATATTAAAATGATTTGAATTAATGAAAACAGATAAAATATAAAAGAGATTGTTTTTATAACAAGATATCAAGCAGTTATCTTTTTTATTTATATTGAGTAAAACTTTACATCACTTTTCAGTGGTCTCTTTTTTACTTTATCACATTATTGTTATTAGTATAAAATAAAAACCTTCAAAACTTTCCATTTCTTAAAAAAAGGCGCCTTTATACACGGAGCAAGTATAGTCTCGCCTCGTAATCAATCATCAAATATTATACTATAATTTTTTTTTTAATTTTAGTTACCTAATAATTATTTTGTTTTTACTAAGTAAATAAGTTCATCTTATATGTCAGAAAACACATTTTTTGACAATCCTGTATCAAAATATATCATTCTTAAATTTTACAAAACATACTTTCTTATATAGGTAACACCACACACAGCAATATTGAAAATGTTATATATGAACTCCAATAATAACTAGATAGGTACTCACATACACTATATTGTCAGTATGTATAACTATAATGTCACTACTCTAGCCCTCGGCAGCCATTTGCTTACAAAATTAGAATGTGAAACTATAAATATCACTTTTAATCTAACACTCACGCATAAATGTAAAATTCAGTATTACAATACTACACTTATTGGATTTCGTAAAATGTTATAACAATAATCTTATAATAAAACTCACCGCGTACGTGTTTATTACAGTGATCACACGATTTCAGCGCTTATTACGTAGGAAACTTCACGTTCATTATAATGTATAGTCTAGCAAACGATATCGACAACAAAAAACTGTGATTGGTTCAAATTAAATACCCCGCCATTCTGTGACCAATCAGTAAGCAGGCGTCGGCTTTATTTTTTGTTTATAGTACAAACATAGCTACGTTGTCACATTGCTTTTGCACACATTCATACTAGTACTTTCCTAGGAACACACACATAGGCATTATATTCTTTTTCTGGACTTATCGTTTGCTGAACTAAAATATGTGTTATGTGCACTGCATAAGAATATGCCGGCAATATTACATTGAATGAAAGAGCGAATGAATGGATAACGCTACTTGAGGGTACAACACTGCTCATTTCGTCATACAATGCTGAAGTACAAGTTAAACTCTTTCCATTCTTTTATTTTATGTTTGACAGTTCAGTATTTCCCTTGTTTTGTACAATTTAACAATTATATTTACGGTAATAAGATATTTTTAGTTAAACAAATATATAATCTAAAAATTACATTAAGCTCTTTAAATTTGACTTTAATAAAATATACAAAATACATAAGATACAATAGCTGTCAAAAGCAACGTAAAAGAATAAAACGCATAGTTGAACGAATACTTTTGTACACACACACACACACACACACACACACACACACACACACACATACACAAACATACTTGGCATGCTACATACTTATACCTACATATACAGTTACAAATCAAATGGCGATCGTCGCAGTCGGTCGGTGCGAAAGTCTCTTTCCTTGTCCTATTCTTGTTTATTCAGCACTAATGATTCTGTTTTATAAATTATGCTGACGATACAGTTGTCCCAGTTTTGATTATTCTCATTTGAACGTGGCGACCGAAGAAGTCATTGAAAACGGATAATTTCAATATAGCAAGTTTGAGAAATACCCTTTTTGTGATTTCAAAAAATTATTATAATTATAAAACGGGGTAGAAGTGTAATAGTTGAATAGCCGCGTGTTCATATACTTTAACTATCGGAACGATTAGAAATTGTCGAGTGTTATTTAAATATATAACCTCAATCTTGATTCTTTGTGAATACGTCAACTTTCTTCGTTCGCCTTGTGCGAGGTCTACGTTGAAGTCTAATTGATTTGTTATATATGATTCAACGCGAGTATCAAATGAACAACGGGTTTAGTACAGGAGAAGAGGATTCTAGAGGCAATTTGGATCAAATATGTTGCCTTGTGGATGACAACGAACGTTGCAGACAGTCCGCAGGCAATGCCGCATACAGCAAACGAATACAGAAGACTGTCACTCAACGAAGACTCAAACTAAATATTGACCCACAGGTATTATTTTTCACTAAGTACTATAACTACAGATGGGCAAAGCACCGGGTTTAAACCCGGTGCTTTGGTAAAAACCCAATAAACACCCATAAACTCCCATAATCACCCAAAAAAATAGGTTTTTACGTATTTTTTTGAAAATATGTAAGTAATACCAATAAATTATTTTTATAAATTGTATTGATCAATTCTACAATATTAAATAAAACGTTAACTAATAATATTTCAGGAAATTTTAAAAATCTATATATAATAAAATGAAAGTAATTAATTTTCAGTGTTTTCATGTTGCAGTTGATCAACATGTTGGCCTTTTGCTTCCCGTAGATACTTTAAAATTTCTTCATAACACCTCGTTCGCACACATGGCCGTATATATTTAAATTCTTGAGCCACTAACAGTCCGAAATACTCATTTCTTTTATCCTCTTCTCCATAAATTAAGCATTTAGAACAGTTTGTTTCTTCTTTCAGTAAATTTTCTTTTACTTTATCCTCGTTTTTTTTCTTTGTTGCGACGACGCTGGGTAAATCATCTGGACACTGGGTCTCACTATCGCCAAATATATTTGGAGATCGGCTTCGGCTACGGCTTGGCAGACATTTTTTTCTTTCTACAATTTTAAATTAAATTTATTAGAATAAATGCTTCGAACACACGCGATCTAAGTACCTTTTGTGTTTATTATACCTTACCTACCTAGGTATAAAAAGAGTACTTACGTAGATTTTCTTTTATTAACTGTTTTATACGAAGATCTTGATCTCTCAAATTAGCATCCATTTTACTTCCAGTGATTATCAACTAAATTAATAATCCACAAAGTATTAAATAACGTTTTTATGAAATATTTAGCACAAAAACAATACCCTTTAAATATCGATCGTCAGTAACTGTGGCTGACTTACCTATATTCTAGCAAGCAGGACTGCCAGATGTGAAGGGTAAATCCCCAATAAATTGTTGCATGTGACTGATGATGTGAGCATGTTCGTTTCATAATAAAAATGTTGCCAGGTAACCAAAAAGTCGTATGTTTTTGTGCGAATTACGATCATAATCTTTACGATCGTACATTAAAAAATAGACAAATAATAGTATGAGTACGATTTAAATCGTATATCTGTCAACCCTGCTAGCAAGACAGCGACAAAATCACGTTGCATAACAATGTAGCCCAAGCTTATATCTTATGAAATATACGGAAGAGATACGGACTTAGAAAAAACAGAAATGTTGTTCTTTGTGGAAGTCATTGATGAAATTCTATGTATTTTAGCCCGCAAACTTTCTTCAAACAAAAACAGCGCCATCTAGTATCGAGTTCTGTAATTATCTCTTTGTTTATGGATTTGAAGTAAGACCGCCACGCATGCAATACATTATGACTGGGGATTCCCCTATTCGTCGACGCTGAATATGAGGCGACGACAATCACTGTCAAACGTGTTCACTATTACTCTGACTCTGGTAACGTGACTTCCTGGTAACGTGTTAGGTAGGAAAAGCAGTAAAAAAGTGCATATTAAGGGAGCAGATTTGAAATAATATTTATACTTAACAAGAAATAATTAAAGGTAAGTGGATTTTTGAATGATACAATTATATCATGATCACTTAACAATTTTAACTTAAAATTAGATGTATTATTACAAGCTTTTATTTAGCTTGCGTTATGTAAATAAAAGTATGTAGGTATGTTCGTATGTTGATGCAATTATCCTCAATCCTCAACCGACTGGGATAAAATTTTCCATACACGTTTATTTTGGATGATAGTGCATAGTTAGCTGAGAGTCGTCATTGGATAATAATGGTGGATAGCCTAAGATGTGTACTAGATATTTATTTTTAACATAATATGCGTAAGTACCTAATCGAATTAAAGAAGTTGCTGAGAAAAATACAGAACAATACGATAATAAACTAGCGTCTGCGTTTAATCCTCCGAGGAGATGTAATTTTACAAAGGTTTTTTGTATTTATTTTATTATTTTTTTAATAAATTTATTGTAAATAACAAGAAATAATCATTGTAAAAAAATAGGCACTCTATTGTTGAATTTTCGTCAGACCAACTAATCATCGTTCATTTTTTTAGGTTCAATGGGGAGACCTAAAGATTTACGCATATGGGAGCACTACCGTACTTTACCAAACAAGTCTGTTTCTTGCAAGCTTTGTAATAAGGTCTACAAATTCAGTAATGCTGCCAAAATGCTTCAACATCTTATCACTTGTCCAAAATCTCCAGAAACATTAAAAGACTCTATGAAACTTATAAAAGATAGCTCGTCCAAAACCAAAATGTCTGGACTGTCAGAGATAGAGACAAATGATTCTTTTATAAGCCCCTCGTCGTCTGCTAACACTACAATAAATGCTGAGTTTCAAGACACCGATGATCATATAAAAACAGAATTAGCGAGAGCTATATTTGTAACAGGGACGCCATTATCGATGGTGCAACATCCTTTATGGATACAATTTTTCGAAAAATTGCAACCAAAATTTAAAATACCTTCACGTAAAGCTTTAGCGACAAAATACTTAGATAAAATATATAGAGAAATGCGTTTTGAGTTAAATGAGGAACTAAATGCTTGTAGTTACTTACACCTTCAGTGCGATGGCTGGTCTAATTTAAGAAATGAAGGAATAATAAACTTTCTTATATCAAAACCTCAACCTGCATACGTTAAAAGTTTGAATACAGAAAGTAATCCTCACACTAGTGAATACCTTAGCCAAGAAGTTGAAAAAGTAATGAAAGTGTATGGAGCAAATAAGTTTCTTGTACTTATTAGCGATAACGCTAGAAATATACAAAAGGCATTCGAATTAACAAAACTCAAATATCCACATGTTGTTCCTCTCGGTTGCTGTGCACATATCCTTAACTTGTTGTGCCAAGATATTGTAAAGATACAAGAAGTAACTGTGTTTATTATGCAAGCCATAAATATAATAAAAACTGTTAAAAGGAGTCAACGATTAAGTTCCTTGTTGATAAAATCAAGGCAGGGTGAAGATTCTACACAAACACTAAAATTGCCTTGTGCTACAAGATGGGGAAGTCATGTTACTTCGTTAAAAAGTTTGAAAGCAAATAAGATAGCTTTGCAAATATTAACAGTTAGAGAAGATGTGGTAATTTCAAGAGATATTAAAGATTTAATTCTAAGTGATGATTTCTGGACGAAGACAGGGGAATGTATAAGTATTTTGGAACCAGTCACTGAAAGCATATTTTACTTAGAGAGCGACCAGAATCGTTTGCATCGCACATACATTACATTTAGAGATGTACAAGCTAAGATACGTTTTGCATTAAATGAGATTTCGACATTGAGCGAAGAAAGCAAACAGCAGATTCTAACATCAGTATCTTCAAGATGCAATATGGCAATGAGGCCAATACATTTTGCAGCATATATTCTAGACCCCAGGACTCTAGGAGTCGAACTTACTCAAGAGGAAGAACTTAAGGGTATGGAGTTTATCTACAATTTAAGCCAACACTTAAGTTTGTCAAATGTAATGGCAGATTTGGCGTGTTATAAAGCTAAAGAAAACTTTTGGGCCAGAGGATTTGTATGGAGCTCATTAGATAGCATTGAGCCCCTAATATGGTGGAAAGGTATTTGTGGTTCCACTGAGTTAAGCAAAGTAGCGATTCGTATTCTATCAGCTCCCTGTACTTCGGCAGCCACTGAGCGTTCCTTTAGTATCCAAGGCTACATACATAATAACAAAAGAAATCGACTTACAACTGAAAGAACTGAAAAAATTTCATTCATTTGTTATAACTGGAATCTTAAACATAAAGCTGAATGCGAGGACATTCAGTTTAATGAAGAAAATACCTTAGAAGCTTTCATTGAGCAAGTAAATGAACATAACAGTTTAGACGAAATAGAGCCTATCGAACCTATACAATTCATCGCTTGTAATAACTCTGAATCTGACAGTGATTGACTGTAGTTTTACATTTTACTTTCATCTCTTTCTTAATAAACTCAAAATCAAATTAAAAGTTTTTTATTCTGTAGGCTGCATAATAATATTGTCTATGTCCAGTATAGTGGACGTCTTGCGGCTGAGATGACGATGATGAAGTACAAAATCATAAACACCCAAAAATTTGGGTGTTTATGGGGTTTAAACCCAATAAACCCAAAACACCCGGTTTTTACCCACCAGACTTTAAACCCACCCAGGTGGATTGCCCATCTCTAACTATAACAGTTTGAAAATATGTCCTCCATTTTATTGTTTGTTGAGTAGTCAAACAAGATGATGAAATAGGGGGAGGGATTGTTAGTAACGTGGACTATCAGTCCCATTGCTATCAATATACCATATCAGGTCGACCTCCACATGGTCCCTCCTGAAAACCATCATGCTGAATTCCAGTTGTATTCATCACGAAGGGCTAACTGACCAGCTTTTTCATTCTCACCTATCATCCCTCACTGATGCCACGTCAGCATATACCGATAGTGCAGGCAGGGTTACCATTCCATTATCATCCATTAAAAAAAAGAAGATGAAATACTGATATATCATACTTTTGTAGGCAAGGCATACATATATTTGTGATTATCACAAAAATATGATACAGTGTGCCAGAACTAAACAGAGGAGACTCAAAGACTCTGAAGATGATAGTAATGAAGCACTGATGGACTCGCCTGAAGTGGATTGGTGCCAGCTGCAGGTGCCAACACTAAGGCGATATAAAAGACATTATAAGGTTCAGACAAGACCTGGATGGAATAAAGCTCAATTAGCCGAGGTAAGAATTTTTTTTCTTCTGTATGTATATTCTAGAATTTTTAAGTCTAAGCCAGTAATTAATACTTTTTTTTTTTATTTTACAGGCTATTCAAAAACATTTTAAATCAATTCCTGTTGATGAGAAGGAGATCATTACTTATTTTATCTATATGGTGAAAACAAATGGAAATAAGTTGGATCAGAAAAATGGAATGAACTCAGATTCAGTTTAGAGTATACATATGTATATGATGACTGTTATTTATAAAACATTTAGTTTTAATATTAGCTTTAGGACAAGGTCTTCAATTTTCCTTAATATTTTTAATAAGCATTCTATATAACAGAGGCAACATTATGAATTGAGGATCATGAATGTATTATTCTGAAGTATATTACTTCATGCCAAATTGTAAATTGTATAGAATGCACTGAATTTTCTGAGTGTCTTGTATGAATCAGTTCATGTGGTGTGCTGCATAAAAACAATTTGTTAATACCAAGATTACACATTAATATATATTACTTATTTGTAATTGTATTCATTCCTAATAGATATTTAGTTTTACTAATGTATGATGTAACAACATACATATGGCCATACTAATTGGCAGAGTCTATATGAACCAACTTTGTTGGAGCTGGGTAGATAAATATAGGTATCAACTTTCATTTCTATTCATTTTCGATAACTATGAACTTCTAGCAAAATAATCATATAACTTTAACTACAATATGTAACTTTTACTTTACAACAAATCTTTGTTTCACTAACTGTTACTGTGTTGAGGGGAATGCAATTGCTTGTTATATTTAAGAGAGATTTATAATAAAAAAATTAAAAAAGTAATGTGTCATTTTATTCAACAAAAAAATATTGTACATTTTTAAATTCAGTCTTCGTCGGATTCTGAAGAAATCTCAATCCATGTTGATGCACCTTTCTTTGCTATTATTTCTGCAGTTTGTGGCAGTGATGGTACAACTGGAACAAAATAATATTAGTAAAAAAGTGAAATGTACAAATTCAAGTTCTGGGTTATGAAAAGAGGAGAAAAGGTTCAAGTCTAAAGTATTATTGGTTAAAAAATGTAACCAAATGTTATCCAAATCATTAAACAAATTATTAATTTAGATAATTCTTACTATTATATGAAAAACAAGTACTAGATCAGTATCAAATTGAGAAATGTGTACCTTACATCATATTAATAAAGACTTAACTAGACGTCTGTACATGGGACATGTATAAGAAAAAAAATAAAATGAGAGGCTTTAAAAGATCAATAGATAACAAAATGAGATTATTTAGATATTTTATCTGTATGTTTATTCTGGTGTCACAAAAAAATATTGCACCCAATTAGATGTGCCGCTCACAGGTTTCTTAAGTTCTAACTTAAAAATAAGTGTATATTTTAACTTGATATGTCGTCAAGAAGCAGTCTATTTCATTGGTTTTCCTACTTCTAAAATATATGTGTATGAAGTTATAGTTAGTGTAATGCAAGCAAAGACATTTGTGTATTTGATAGCCAAACAACTGTTTCAATACAACATATAATCAAGTACAATATATAATCGAGTTGTAAGAAAAAATAATTTGAGGGTCTTAATATATAGATGCAAAAAACTGCCATGTGCATAATGACATGGACAAAAGATCCGTTTAAGATCTGCCAAAAATGATGGATGTGAATACAGATCTTTTTCTTGGATATTCGTGGATACGGATATGGGTATCTGGCACATCACTATTACTTACAAAAACCACACATATGAAGTGGTAGAGAGAAAAATTTATATAGATGTATATTATAGTTTGTCTTTAAGTTGAAGGTTGTCTATACTACTAATCTACGGCCCTCGTTGTTCCATCTATGAAGCAGAACCTCTTTATCATTATATTTCCTGTTTCCATCAAATGAGATGGTCAAATGGCATTCATCAACCAATTAATAAAATGGATGTACATAGTAAGAGGACACAATTTAAAAACAATACCATCATATTTGCTCGGTTCTGGCTTTTCATCTTCAAATTCTTCTATCATTTCTTCATCGTCGCATTTAGGTAGATCAGCATTATAATTCTTAAGACGAATGTTGAGATCTTTCTTATTAAGGGACAGTACATGATCACTCGTTATTATATCAGAGAAATTTATTCTGACGCGTTTTTGCCTGGAATACACAGAATAATGGATAGGCTGTAAAAATACATGTAACATTATGACAAAAATGTATCATATTCATGTCCTAACTTCTAGAAATTCTGGGCCTCTTGAAAGAGTATACTAACTTCTTGGTGTCTTAAAGAATTATAAAGACAGACCCAATTATCTATATGTATTCTGCTCTTTCTACTTTGTCAAAAGGAGGTGCTAACATGTTATCAAAAGATATGCCAGAACAATAGAATTCTAATTCTTATCCAAGATATGGAGATTGCAAATAACGTGATATTTTGTTTTTTTAGAACTGACTTCAAAGAAGGGAGGTGCCCAATTCAATTGTATTTTTTTTATCTTTGTTATTTTATAACTTTATAATTTATATATTTATTTAGATAATTATTTTTTATCTGAAAGATTATTCTTTTGGATTGGTCCCAATTTTTCAAATTTATTAAAATTAACTGAAATTTATCAAAACTGGTTCAGTAGTTTGGTTGATTGATGAAAACATTCTTGTTTATAAGTATTACACTATTAAATAAAGTGCAATCTCAGCATAATTTGTGAACCTTATTCAGTTTTTCTATAATTATTACTCTTACCTCATTGTGTCATCGTTCATTATAGTTTTCTTTACAGTATCAACAATTTCCTTACACCTGTCTGCTGCACTTTTGATAGCTTTATGTACTATACTAGAGTCATATAAAGCGGCTCCAGATAAATTCAGCAAACACAATTCCCTGTACTGGTTCATTCCAACTACTAGAAGTCCACCGCTACTATTAACTTCTTCAGTACCACTGGCACATACGCATTCTTCTATAAAACTGGGATCTGATAATAGTATACTAAAATAAAAAACAAAACAATGACAAACATAAATTACAATTTAAAAAAATTACTGATAACTCCTTATGTTCAAGTTACACTAGGAGACTGAGGCAAGATTTTAAAATGAAGTGGTTGTTGAATTTATTTTACTTTTAATATAAAAAACATTTTTTTAGTTGAGATATCAAACTTAGAGATATATGGTGTGACAGTTTATTTGTAAAGCTAAAAGTAATGAATATTTTTGCTATAGATTTTATCCCTTTATGTTAAACCATTCAGGCAGCATACACCATGTTATAGATTTATTGCCAATTTTAATTACATTTATTGTGATTATGTATTGAAAAAATATAACTATCAAAATAAAAAATAGCCAATAGCACTCAGGAATAATACCTTTCTAACAGAGAAAGTATTTTCAAAATTGGATCAGTACTGGAGATTACCCCAGAAAAATTTATTTAAGAATTTGATTCAAGGATGTTATTGGTACTGAACTTGGATATGGAATAACACTTACTTATTTTGAAATATTGCAAATGTCAAACACACTGGATAATGGTAAAGTACTGTTGGAATTGGGTCTTTCTCAACTAATGTGTGTATGATGACACTGTCCCCACTTCTTGTTACATCTGGACGCTTGAAATGAGCTAAAGATGTTAGTGCTGCAATACTGGCACATTCCACGAGGTTTCCTGCATGATTCAACACCTTTATGTCCACTCTTAGTGACCATACCTGTAATTCAAAATGTTCACATGTATTATGTTTTTCTATTAATTTTAACCAAAATAACTGTGGGCTCCTGTAAAGTAATGCATCTTAATATATGTATAATTGTAAATATATTTAGATGTTTTTACTAAACTAGGTGTTATCTAACAGAAATCTATATCACTAGTTATTCAATTTGAATTATTTTGTTTAATTTTGCTAACATTAGTATGTGTGTGACAGCCAATGCTCGAAGATTGACCATCATCATTACTACAAGAAGTTCTACTACCTTGGAGTAAATTGTAATTTAGATTGTAAAAATATAAAATAATAAAACAGAATCCTTCTTGAATGTTATAAATCTTTACAGTTCAGCATATAAATTCACAATATGATGTAGGAAGGTGAGACTCACAAATACAGTGGTATAAATAACAACAATTGAAACATTAAAAAATTTTATAAAAAAACTATTATGATGAATTCTATTTTAATTGGTGGCTAATTTGACAATAATGGTAAAATAAAAATGTCTTACCTTCTCTTCAACAACTATACACAAGGACTCTAGGTCTATACATTTAGAATCTTTATAGCACTTCTCAAGTAATCTATTCAAATACACTGTAAGATCAGTTTGTCTATTAGCTTCAAACTGAGGTGCGGCCATTGGACTTATTTCAACATTAATATATAGAATCCCTTCATTAGGGCGAATTTGTTTTGGCTGTGTAACTTCACATGTCACTTGGGCGAGTACTCTGTAAAAGAGTATGTTTATAATTTAATATATTTTAAGATTTTTGTAAAATTCTTGATGTTTGAATATCTTATAAAATGATACTAACTTTGTTTCCCCGAGCGATACTATGCAACTACCATATTCTGAGCCAAATGATATTTGTAAATTTCGGCTTTCGTTATAATTTCTCCCATCTAAACGCTGAAAGAAACAATAAAAAAATATAATATTATGAATAAATGTCGTGTCCAATAATTATTATGAATAATAGTTATCTATTTATACAAATTAAACTTACATGTCCTTCAGATATTATTCTATGTATAAAGTTTTTCTCACAACTTGATAAAAATAGGTATCTCATTTTTAAATTCTCTGTTTATATATTTAAATAAAAAGAAATGTTAGGTTATTTAAAATAAAACAATGCAAGTTTGACGTTAGCATACATGACAAGTAATGTACTTGTTATTGAAAAATTAATCTATGCTACCATTTATAAGTATCAACACAAAGAAACAAAAAATAAATAAATGATATTCAGTGTTATACAAATATATATTATATGATTTGGTCCAAAACATCAAAATCAATAAGTGTTATAAAATATTGGGCTTATACAACAAACATTTTAATTATTACTAACTAACCAATTCATGAAAATTGGTTGCATAGGCATCATGTAAACTCTTTTCTATTAAAAGTGACACTGATCACATAACATGACAATAATTTGACATTGGCAAATTAAAACTAATTTCTTTTTCTTCAAGACACGGGAAATATACATATACAGCCGTGTCTGAGATTTTGACTTCAATCCATTTAACTTTCTTAACTTGTGGAATATTATATGAAAAGTTAAACTAACAATATATCTTGTTCCGGTTGTTAAAAGTAGATAAAAGTGGTAAATATGCGAGCTAAAATATGCATATGATTTATTACCTTCTCCTTTTTGAAGTCGGTTGATGAAACATTTCGTAAATTTAGCTAATCGTGAATTATTACTATAGTATAATGAATAAAGTTCTTTATAGTGTCTTATTACATACACTTAGTATAACGTACTTACGTGTTATTATTATTACTTTCTTTAACAACCACTTTTGGTAACAGATTTATCCTCATAAGCAAAGAAATAGAATAAGTACTATCTGTGCTACTAAGGGGAAAACTTTGTTTAGTAACAAGTATTATATTACAGGTTTCCCATTTGACAAAACTGTACCATGTCAGGTTACTTTCAGATATTTTCTCCTGAAATCAACGTTAATTCTTATAAAATTCGTCCTAATGGGCTATCTAACCTGCTGTCATCCTCATTTATCATCATGCTCCGCTAGAATTATAGGCCAGATGGGATTACCATTCCTTGCACTATACCTATTTTTATTTTCAGAAATTCTTTTATTTAATGGCGTAAATGGAACGGTATCCCTATCGCTTTGCACTATCGGTATACACTGACGGGATCAGTGATTGGTGAGGATGAAGTCAGGTCAGTTGGCCCATCGCGATAAATTTAACAATAATTAATCACGATGGTTTCCAGGGAGAACCGCATGGAGGTCGACCAGACTGAATATACCCTATACCGCTAGAAATGAGGATTAACGCCCCTATTACTAATAATCCTTCTCTTTCTGATTTAAGAAGGTTATGAGGTATAGGTTTTTTTATGGGTAAAAATATAATGTTAACCCCGCCTGGGCTATCGGTATACACTAACGGGACTCCAATGGAGGCGGAGGGGGGGGGGGGGTTGTTAGTAATGCAGACTACCAGTCCTATTGCTGGCAATATATCCCGTCAGGCCACAGATAATACAAAAAAGTGACCAAACAGTACTAGTAAATTACAAGTACTGTTTGGTCACTTTTATGTTTATATTTATGTACTATTACTTTTATGTTTATGTACTATTACTAGTAGTAATAGTACATAAACATAAATATATAAATATACTAAATAGATCTAGGTAAATCACACATTAAGTAAGTAAGTAACTCTAATCAGCACTTTTTGCCATCTAACGCCTAGAGCAGCCGCTTCTCTCGCTATAGCCCAGATTCGGTGCTAGCTGGCGGTATTAGACCACTAAACTAAAATTATTTATCGATATATATATTGATCCTTTGGAATTAGTAAAGATATCTGCATTTCAAGACCGATTTTGATAATCTTTTTGAAATCGACAGTGCAAAGCCTTCCAGTGGCAGGCTTTGTACTAAAATCGTTTGCTTGGCCTCTCTCATTCATGTTTCTCCGTGTGTCTGTGAAGTTGTATTTGCTTGGCTGTTTTTTGGTTTGATATGGCAGTGAAATTACAGAATACAGGGGCATAACACCTAAGTCCTTAGAAATAGCAACGCATGAGCGGTATTATAGGCGACACAGTATACTCTTTTATCTCCATGGTACTGTTCATGTTTATAGCCGAAAGTTACTATTTTCCATCAGGTATGTCATCAGCTTGTTTACCATTCTAAGTTGCATAATAAAAAAGCTGCGCTGTTAATTTTTTCGGAGCGCATAAATAAGGCCTTAGATTCAAAATAATAATAATAATCTTTATTTCACTCTTTGTTACAATATAGTTTGAAGTCCCTAACTCCCGAGGTAGGGGGGGGGAAAGGGATTGTTAGTAATGGAGACTGAGAATCCCATTGCTAGCAATATACCCAACTAGGTCGACCTCCTCGCGGTTCCCCCTGGAAACTATCATGGTTAATTCCTTATGAATTCATTATGATAGGCTAACTGGTCTGTTTTCATTCTCATCTTCATCTTCTTCTTCACTGGTGCCCCGCCAGCGTATCCCGTTAGCGCAGGCGGGGTTACCATATCATTTTCAACCATCAAAAAAACTCCCGATGTAGGTATGAAAAAACCTGTATTTCAGGAGTTAGTGCCCTCTTCCATATGTTGTAGATAAGCATAAAATGGTGTAGGTAGACGTGCGGTAATTAGATATTATTTATGATTACCTCATCGCTTATTCAAATATTTGTTACATATTTTTAAATAATAAGGTAAGTACCGTAAAACGCGAGCTCATCATTTTTAAATCACATCCAAGGTACGAATCAATAAACTTAACCACGTAATTGGATTATAATTATGTTTACTTTATATAATGACACTGACTATTACAACAACGGTTCTGACTTTTGACTTGAGCTTACATATTTATTATTTTATCTAACAACCCCATACCTTCACCCCATTAACGGAATATTGACTATGTATGTATTGATAGTCTACCATCCTATTAACGAAAGAGCAACATGGACGTACCTCACTTATCTGTAAGCCATGAGCCACATTACACCTCTATTAGATATGAACACTATCATGGACAGAATAGAGTATATTGTGTCGTCAATGATAACCCTCATGCAGGGGGGAGAGGTATTGTTAGTAATTCGAACTATCAGTCCTGTTGCTAGCAATATGCCCAATCAGGTCGGCCTACTCATGGTCCCCTCTGGAAACTTTTACCAGAGGGAGATTTTGTACAAAAGTCGATTGCTTGGGTACCTTTGCCCCATTCATGTTTCAACCGTGAAGCAGCTGTGTTTGCATGGCTGTGTTTTGATTTGAAGGGTGGGATATGGCGTGAATTTACTGGGTACAGAGGAATAACATCTGAGTCCTCAGGAATGGCAACGCATGGGGGAAACAGTATGTGTGTGTACTGTTATGTCCATGGTACTGCTCATGTCTATAGGCGACGGTTACCACTTTCCATCAGGTGGACCATCAGCTTGTTTGCCATTCTAAGTTGTATAAAAAAACTATCATGCTGAATTCCAGGTGTATTCATCACGGTGAGCTAACTGGCCTGCCTTTTTATTCTCACCTGTCATTCATCACTGGTGCAATGGTCCATTGTTAGCAATGGGATTGGTAGTAGAACGTATAGCGTTAGCGGAGGCGGGGTTATTATTCCATTATTATCTATTAAAAAAAAACTTCACTGGTGCGCCGTCTGCATATACCGTTAGCGAGGCGAAGTTGTCATTCCATTATCATCCATTAAGAAAAAGATATCTTTCATTCGTAATCGTTATATTCGTATAATCGGCGATATGTCGAGTGTTACATTCTCTACAATGACAGCACTCGACAAATACCTCTGTCTACTTCATCTAGGTTTATAATCGTTAGAATTTTATATCGTTTTTATTTTGTATTTATTTTTGGGTTAAAAAATTAAATGGTAATCCCGCCGGCAGTGAGGAATGCAAGATAAGAATAAAATCGAGTCAGGGTCCATCATGTAAAAAACATCGGAAAATTCAAAATGAGTTGTCGTAAAAATTTTATAACCCCCCCTTAAATTAGAAACTATCGATCGACCATAGTCGATTTCGAATGACCGCATATATTGCTAGGAATGGGACTGTCAGCATGTTAATTCCCATTATTAAAAATCCCATCACATCATTACAAAACTAACGTATAATAGACATGGCGTGAGCGAGCGATAGAGCGGACATGTCATACATGGCTCATCCTCACTGTATCGTGCTATGTTGACGCGACAGCGTGTCATTACGCAACTATGATTATTATTATAATATCAAGTATAAAATTCAAATTTTACTATATTTTTGTCAACGACTATTAACAGCACAATGCGATGGCTACTGGTATAGACCTCATAATCTCGACAGTATGCAACGCCACATTTTGCGAACCGATCTATGACAATCCAATTTTAGGTAAGTTTGATTTTTACGAGTTTCCTTTGCTTAATATTTTGTAAAAAAAAATAAGTTTTTTTTCTCTACAGAAACCACAAAGAAAGAAACCGATTCGCGAAATTTAATTAATTTCATCAACGGAAAGCATCTGAAAGTCGCAACCTACGATGTAAGTTATTTTATTACTTATTAAAGTTAATACGTACTTTGGATTTGATTATGTTTTTGAAGTTAAAATTCCGAACGCAATAAGAAACATTAAGTCTTTTCAATTCGTAATGTCTTATCTAATTTTGAACCGATTTTGTTAATTCTTTTTATAGTAGATAGTTTTTATATTTGTTACATTTCGTTATATTTGTTATAATAATGTTACTTAGGATTGTAAATTCTTTTTTGAAAATTTTATGAATTACCTTATTGATATTGTATTTTGTGAGCTTTTGATCTTGTCTTATTGTTTAGAATGTTCCTCTGAGCTGGACGGAAAATGGACTAAATGGTTCTCTCGTCGGTCGAGGGGTAGCGTTCGTAATCCTCGACATATTGCGCCAAAAGTTTAATTTCACCTATGAGGTAGTAATACCGGAGAGAAACTATGTGTTGGGAGGAGATAAACCTGAAGACTCCTTAATTGGGCTTGCTAACAGTAGTGTAAGTATAGTGGGTAAATTGGTATGATGTTAAGGTCTACATTTTATAAATTAAAACTATAATATGTAGACTTTAACTAAAAAAGTAACTTTAACTAAACTAGCTTTGAAGTACTTTTCACACGAAATAACTCATCCTCGTCTTTATGCATCTGTTTTGTCTCTTATTTACTTAAGATCAGTAATTATTGGTAACGGCGACTAATATCCGTATTTACTAAATTATATATACGTGGTCTTCTCTGGACACCATTGCGAACAATTCATCACGAAAGGCCGTTTAATTTTACTTCAACATTAAAAATCGCTCACCGGTACTCCGCCAGCATACACCTACCAACAAATAGTACAAATGGGCTTAACCAATAATAACAATGGATGGATTGTGTGAAAGACGATATGACCAGAATGGGAGTGAAGAAATCTGCAGAAATAACTGGGAATAGAGAAGAATGGAAGAGGAAAATATATTACGCCGACCCCAAATAATAATTGGGATAAGGGTAGATAGATAATGATGATGGGGTTAACCAATAACATCGGGGAAAGCTTGTTATAATAGACACGTTAATACTCATTACTAGCAACCCTGTTATGTCGACCTCCGGTGTGGTACCCCCTGGAAGCATTCATGGTTAATTTTGATGAAAACATTACAATAGACTAACTGATATACTTACATTATCACCTATCTACCATCATTATCATACTTCATTAGTGCCCGATAGCGTAGGCACCCATTAACGTATCCCTATTAACAACCGTCTAAATCGGGGGGAAGGGATTGTTAATAATGGGGTCTAACAGCCCCATTGCTAGTAACATACCCTATTAGGTCGACCTTCACTCGGTTCCCCTTGGAAACTATTGTGATTAAGTCTTGATGAATTTATCACAACAAGCTCTCTAACGCCCTGCCAGTGTATACCGATAGCACGCTATTGATATACACTGGCGGGGTTGCCATTCCTTTATCATCCATAAAAAAACCGTTTAAAATCATTATAAACTAATAGATAATTCTAAATTTATTACTGAAACTACTTTCAGAGTTCTTCTAATGAATCCATTCTTAATCTTGTCTATTCTTGTCACACCATATTTATCTCAATTATACATTATATTAGATAGGAACTTAAACTACTACTTATAGAGTGACAAGAAATCAACATTAATTGGATTTGTTAAGTTACTGGCAGAAATTTATTTCACAACGATTAATCCAATTCTGTAAAACCAGAAAGTGGACATGGTCGCTGCGTTTTTGCCTAAAATACCACCTTTTCGGAATATGGTGTCGTTCTCATACGATCTCGACGAAGGCATATGGGTGATGATGCTTAAGAGACCAAAGGAATCTGCAGCCGGCTCCGGTCTTCTGGCACCTTTTCACAGCTATGTTTGGTAAGAGAGAGTAATCGACGTTGTAAAAAAAAAAAACAAATAAAAAACTGTAAAAAAAAACAGTAATAAACAAATTTCCGTCATATTCTGCTTTTTCCAGCGTACAAATATTTAAAAGCATATAGATTATTACAATCAGCACGGGCACATCACAATTTTGCAGTCAATTACCAATTACAAATAACTCTAGATTTAGTAAATATTTTAATAAATGTAATGTTTTGTAAAATTAACTAAATTAAGCGTTATCTAGTTAGTTTTACAAAAAAGAACCAAAATTAAACGAAGATATACTTTATGATTGGCCCTTTAGAAAATGTATCTATCCATTTATCTGATTCTGTGACGATGGAAGACTATATTTTTAGTTGAAGTAAATCTACTTTTTATATCTTTACAATCTTTTGTTATTTTTTTATTAATATTTCTTTATCAGGTATTTAATTCTAGTCGCAGTTTTGTCTTATGGCCCATGTATAACCTTATTGACGAAAATACGTTCGAAACTAATGCCGACGGAGGAGAGTCACATAAAACTATCACCGAGCTTCTGGTTTGTATATGGAGCACTCATCAAACAAGGGACCAATTTAGCACCAGAAGCTAGTAAGTACTAATCTAATTGTTATAAGTTATTTATTCGGGCCTAAAGATGAAATAGTTTGCCAGCTATAAAATTCAGGCTCGTGGAATCTTCTTGTTGCAGCATTTTTTTCTTATTTCAATCATAAGTATTTATATCTGCTACTCAATATAAAAACCTGGCATGAAGATAGAGGTAGATTAAACATAGGCAAAGTATAAATGTTTCGATAAATCTTTAATGTTGTAGACTAAAACACAAACAAAAGTATTCAATGATTTTTCAAAAAAAAAATTTATTTCGTTTTTTCTCCTTGTGGAGCATTCGTGGGCCCGGATATTAATTTCCAGGTTGTTAATCTAGAAGTATTGGCAAGGCTATTTATTCTTATTTATGCTTACATTCATCCCTTCTCGCATCCATCATATTTCTTTCTTATTTTTCGTTGTTTTCAAGCGTATTTTCCAGTAGTTATTTGTTTCGATCTTTTTTTTTATCATCTTTACCGTTGTATATCCAATTTCGTTCGTAACGGTATCGCTATTATACGACACCTTCTCCACTGTTCTACTGTGTGTTCGTGTGTTTATAATATTTAAGTTTTGAATAAATCCTTACTATTACAACATACACTCTTCTTTTATTTAGTTTCTTCTTAACTTTTTCATATCCTATATAATTGTTTTGTAAGTATTCAATATTTGTAATGGATATAGATTCAATATAAAATGAAATGGGTCCAATTGTATTGCAGTCAGCTTGTTTGCCATTCTAAGTTGCATAAAAAACCTAGCACACATTAAGTTTCTCAAATGCAGGGTATACATTATAATATTTTAAATAGAATATGGTTGAATACTAATGGTAGTTATGAACATTGTGTAATGTATGTACGGTCAGCATCGAAAATCGATTAATAAATTAGGATCACTAAACTTTTGTATTTTATAGCATACATACATAGTTGTAAATATTTACGAGTTTATATGATATTCATTCAATTCTGGCTATAGCCTTATTCAATTACTTATGATTGTAACGGTGTTTACAGATTTTGTAAATGTGTTAGTACTCATCCACTTTTGATGCTGACTGTACCTTTCGAAGTCAGTCTACATTAGTGAGCGAGGGCGACTGTATCGTCACTATCTAATGGTCTGCTTACATCATATATCACTTTCCAGTCACACTTTCATCGCGTCCTGTACACTGCACAAATTATATTGATAATAAATCATGTACGGGGTTTTTAATGTTGACAGGTGAATGTTACATACTATTTAAGTATGTTTAATGGTGAGGTGATTTGACTAAAAATATTAGAATCAATAATGAAAGTGTAGATAGTCATCGATAAAACACTATCCATTTATTGCACACTTATCTGTTACATCATAAAAGCCCACACAATCTTTTAAAGTAACATTGCTTTTTTATTTATGTTCAAACACACACTTAATATCATTATTGAATATAGGTCAATATTGTTACGGTTGCAATGATTTAGTTCTATTAAGTCTTGGAAGTTTCTTAAAATACATTGAAAAGCACCCCTGAATGGGAGTCTCGTATATTAGGTAAACCTAAATCAGATTTTTTTAAATATCTCTGTAAATTATTCATGCACATTAATGCCTCTTTTCCCCTAGGAAGGCAAAGTAGATTAAATTTTGTCTGAGAAATCAGTTCAGGGTACAATAAGACCTACGAGTAAAGAAGGTTAATGTCCTTAAAGATTTTAATAATAAAAAAAATAGCACGTGGCTAAGACAATGGAAAAATTTCTTTTTCGTCTACACAAAACACAAAAAATTTTACCAGAATATCTAACAGAATTATTTTAGCAAAAAATATTTAAAACTATTATGATGATTCCTAGTTCATAATGGGTACCAAGCCCTTAAGTCTAAAGCAAGACTTTGCCTCCATTTCTGTGTTCTACTGTTTATAAAACGGATTATGTTCTGAGGAGTTGTTTGAAATGATGCCCACAGCTACCTTTTAACATCGCATCCCTCGCCATCGACAGAGAATTCATCCTCACACGCTTGAACTTAAATGGTCACGTACAGTGCGGTTTTAAAGGAATTTTCTCCCGCGAACACTTAGCCTGTGGAATGAGCTCCTTGTCGATGTGTTCCCTAGAAACTACAGTATGGGTCAAAAAAGGTATATTAAGATTTCTTTAGGATTGGCAACGCGTACGTGACATCCCTAGTTTTGCAGGCGTCCATAGGCTACAGAAACCGTTTACCATTAAACGGGCTGTATGATTGTTAGCCATCTCCGTGGTATAAAAAAAGATCAGAAAACAGACAAGACATTATCTCAAACAAAATGTCAACTAAAACTAAGGTATACTTAGAAAAAACATGAAAAGAAATATGGAGGGACACGGGATTAAATTGTATTGATTTAAAAAATTAGTACAAAAATACCGGTCTGAATAGAACAGAAATCTGTGTAAGTTACACAGATTAAAAAATACTCTTCCTTTATAATTTTTATTATAATTCTGCTTGTGATCTAGATTCAAGCCATATAATATAGATCAACATTGCAAATGCAATTCTTAATTCCCCTAGAAATACCAATTCTCTCTTACAGATACAACTAGAGTTCTATTTACGACTTGGTGGCTTTTCATCATATTACTGTCGGCCTTCTACACAGCTAATCTAACCGCTTTTCTTACATTGTCTAAATTCACTTTGGATATAGAATACCCTAAGGATTTATATAAGAAGAATTATCGATGGGTTGCGGCACAAGGAAGCCCAGTGCAGTATATTGTATCGAACGTAAGTTGCGTATGTTTTATTTACAGTTCATTGTGATTACAGTTTAATTGGACAATAAATAAATCGAACTTTAATGCAATAATTTCAAATGTATAATAATTTTCAATAGAGATTTTATAGATAGATACTTACTGAAATGTATCTTCATTGGCTTCATAGCAACACAGTCAGGTATAAACCACTTGTGGTTAGACCAAGAATAGGTACCTACCTACCTGCATGCCTACCTATGCATGTTATCAACTTTGTGAATACAAAGTTAATATAGGCACTTACCTGTATCTGTCTACTACCTATCTTTTTTATGGATGAAAATGTAACCCCGCCCGCACCAACGGCATACGCTATCATGGCACCAGTGAAGGATGATAAGAAAGAATGAAAAGGCAGGTCAATTAGCACATTCTCATGAATTCACCTGGAATTCAGCTTGATGGTTTCCAGGTGGGACCACATGGAGGCTGACTTGACAGGGTGCATTGCTAGCAATGGGTCTGGTAGTCTACATTACTAACAATCCTTTCCCCTCCCCCAAACTACCTATATGTTAGGTAGATACATCACGTAAATACATAAGTAAAAATGTTTGTACCTACCTTAATTGTCATTAAAACTTGTTTTTTTTTTATATTCCAATATAGCCTAACGAAGATTTATATTACCTAAATGCGATGGTGAAAAATGGCCGAGCAGAATTTCGACCATACAGCGACGATCACGCATTTTTACCACTTGTGAAAAATGGAGCAGTTCTGGTCAAAGACCAGCTCGCAGTTGACCATATAATGTACAAGGACTATATTCGGAAAGCAAAGGAAGGCATCGATGAAGTTGACAGATGTACATACGTTGTGGCGCCTAACGCATTTATGACCATGTTGAGAGGTTTCGTTTATCCAAGAGATAGCAAGTTGAAACATCTCTTTGATCGAGTGTAGGTTTTAAATTACTTATATACTTCATCATCAGGTTATATTTAAGAGCCTTCATAGAGAATAGAGCTTGTGGTGTAAGGATGGGCAGAAGCTTCTCTCTTAAAACATCACCAAAAGCCAAACTGCGGTTGCCGATACCCCTGCTAAGCGTGGCAACTACTGGCAAAACCCCCCTTATGGCCCATAAGGGGTTTTGCCAGTAGTTGCCCTCCTATGTTCAGCAGTGGACAGTTAACATAATAATAATAGAGAACAGAAGTTAACCTAAATGTGGCAACGGTATCATTATATATGGTATATCATTTTCAGAAACAATTTTAAATATTTTCGTTTGATTATGTATAAAGTTATCTGATAAGAACTAAAATGTTACGTACCTACGTGAAATATTTATGAAAAACAACCTTATTTATATTTTAAAGTTTTTAGGAATAGCAACACATAGCAAGCACGTAGGTGTCACAATATGGCAACTCCCCTGGTGTCGTCAGTGTACATGGGCTGCGGTGATCACACATCATCAGGTTTTACTTAAAAAAATCTGTGATGTCTATAATGAGGTTCACGTCTTTTGTTGCCTAATTTTTACAATGGTCTCTCAATTGCACTTGTTACTTCCATTTTCATCCCATACTAATTTCATCTGTGTAGTTTTAAAAAGCAATGATAATCTTAAATTTTCTTTCAGCCTCGTCTACTTATCACGGGCAGGTATCGTTAACTTTCTCCAAACACGTGACTTACCGAGTACGAAAATGTGTCCACTGGACTTGCAATCTAAAGACCGCCAACTTCGGAACAGCGACTTGCTAATGACTTATATGATCATGGTCATTGGGCTATCTGCAGCTACAGCCGCTTTTATAGGAGAGGTAAATTTACTGTTTTTAAAACCGTCACATAGAAGTACGGTAACAGTTTCTGATTTCCATATATGGTATTTAGAGCCCGTTGGTTCTCACATTGGGAGAAATGTTTTTGAATAGATAGGTACCCTCATCTCCTGGTGGGACACCAGTGAGGGATAAGTTGTGAGGATAGAGCAGGTCAGTTGGCCTATTGTGATAAATTCAACAATAATTAACCACGATGGTTTGCGTGCGAGCAATGGGAGTGTTATACTCCATTACTGACAATCTTTTTGCCTTTTTGTTAACATAGTTAAATAATGTACTCCACATGTATACTTGGCGCATTGCAGCATGGTGCGAATGACACATTAAAACCATAGAATTTATTTTAATAATACACATTTCATCATGAGAACATAACTAGAATTATTACATTAACTTATGTATACTCCAAAAATTGTATTTAAAAAAGTATTTTTACCGTAAAAAAAATACTGCGAGAATGTCACACATCGTCCGCAAAATGTTACAATGTGTAGAAGCTATAGAGTGAAATAAAAATTATTAGTATCCCTTTAAGGATGTGTTGTATTACGGAAATTGATCATATTGTCAAAAGAAACTTGCATAAAAATTACGCTTTGAAGTTTGTAATTAATTTACATTTTACCCATATGTTTCAGATTGTAGTTAAAAGATATATACGTATAAAAATCAGGAGGCATGGTAAGCAGAAACGGAAGAAGACTAAATTTAACAAAAACCATATGGTTCACATGTATGACGACAGTCGACCGCCGCCCTACGATTCAATCTTCGGCCGTCGCAATCCTAATTACAAAGTGACAGAGGAATTACAGACTAAGATTATAAATGGCCGGGAATATTTGGTGGTAGACACTACCCATGGTGCCTCCAGGCTTATACCAGTCCGGACACCGTCAGCATTCCTCTATAATCTGGAGAAGTGATTTATTGATCATTTTAACACGTGAAAAATACCTTTGTCTATGTATTTACCGTACTGGCCACAGAACAAAATTAATGAGAAAAACGTCACCATACATATCATATTAACAAATAATAGAATCCATAATGTATTATGTACAGAGTAATTAATAAAGACTAGAAGTACAAGATAAAAATAAAAAAGTGAACTAGACTATTAATTTGCTAACTGTAAAATAAATTAATTGAGATTAAAAGAGTTCATGTATTGTTTGAAAGTATATAATAATGAATATATCTGGTAGTCAGACTCATTACTCTCTTACCGGATGGGTAGAGAGAATTTGTTATTGTATAGTATTTTAGAATCTCATATACGTTTATTTTAACAAAATAACATTTAAATACAGTACAAATTAAATTTTACCTGTTCTGTGGCATGTACAATAATAGTAATAACTTTTATATGTATACGATGTCGTGCTAATAGAATTTAATATAAATCCTAAAAATCACAGAAGCACATTGCACAAAGGAGCAGAAATATATTAAAATTAAATGTACAAATAAAAGCGATGCGTTTAAATACATATTTTTATTAACCGTGAAAATACATTTTCACAATTCCTCTAACATTCAAATCTTGATTTGCAATTTCTCTCGTTTCGAAAACAATAAACTTAATATATTTATTTATTATATTTAGAAATCTGCATAATGCAGGCCCGCTTGACAACATTTCATGAAATTATCTAGGTGTTATTATAAATAATAAATGAAATAATTTACGAACTTATACGTCAAAATATATACTGATAAAATGTGGTAAAACAGGCCAATAAAGGTTAAAACGCTGTGCCTGTATATGCATTTACAATTTGTACATACATACAAATTTACATAGGTACACTTCTTACGTTGAGCGGCGACATTCTGCCACAACGAAACCTTAGTCACATAAAATAGTTATACATTTCTGTCTATCGTAACAATCTTTGTCAATTTATCTTTATTGTGAATTTAAATAAAATTATACAACAAACATTTTAATAATGTACAAAATAATATACATTGTGAAATATGAACAATTTAGGGAGAATTTACAATTTAAAAAATAAAATTTAAAAAGAGAAATTACAATTTAAACAAGTAATTCGGAACATTACTAGAATAATCGAAATAAATGTTTATTAACGCTAAAACTAATATAGAAAAAGAATGGTATACTGATCAAGTTTACTTTGCTTGTTCAAATACTTAAGTACTTCAATTATTAACAATATTTAAATTGATTGATGTAGACATTTTTTACATTTAATAGATTAACAAAAAAAACTTTCTTGAACTTATATCATTCAGTATGTGACGAAGGCGACTCCAATTTTGAGACTTGAGATTTAGATCGTCAGATTGTGAAATATATTTTTAATAATATTGAACAATGTTGACGTAAGGATCTATTGATACTAAAGGTGGAATTAGACTGTAGGAACAAACAGCCTAAAACGAGCTACAGAACTCTGAAAAAAATAGATACCAAAAATTTGAAAATTAGGGCTGAAATTTCATACGTGCCATAAGATAGATTCATACTGATTTATGGAGTGATGTTTCGCTCTTCATCTTCGCTCTTAACCCTATCATGAAACGACCAAAGGAAATTGTATTATTTTGATAGAATATATTTCGTGACTTTAACGTCAACATCATACATATATCGTTCGGTTCCGAAATTTCTGATAAATTGTCCGGGTAAGTAAACAGACAAGTTTAGACGAAAAGAACAGTATTAGAAAATTATTAACGAAGCATTATAACAACGAAAAAATGCAGTAAGAATGTTTTCAGAAGTTTAAATTGAACAGGAGAACAGAGTATCCGCTCGTTTCATCTAACTACATTATAAAACTCACCTAAAAGGAGCCAGATTAAGAGCTATATTACATTATCAAATATGTAGGATGAATATCTTACAATTCACAAACATAATAGAAATTAAAGTGAACTTACTATGTTATTCCAAAAGTGTTATAATTTAAATTTACATATTTCATGTAAGGAAAGTAAACAAATCGATATACCATATATTTTCCCATTTGTTTCTCTTAATTTTATGTACTGAGATGTACAGTGATGTATAATTTTTATAACTTAAAGCATTTAAGCTACATATAGAAATGCTATACATTCTACGTCATATATTGGGGTGGAACAGTTAACGTTACCTACATCAGTTTAAATAAAGCTTATTATATCGCTAATAAGCCACTGTTATATCTTCATATTTTAAAATCTACAATATATTTTAGGAAAAGTCGACAATTTTTTGGAAAAAGTCCGACATATTTGTTAGAGGTTATTTTCATATAAATTTCATGTGTACCTTTGAGATGCGAATATAATCATTAATAATAATTAAAAAAAAATTAAAATAATAAAAGATAACAACAAAATTATTTAGTGACATTAGTGTCAAGCTTATTTAATTGATAAAATTATGAAAATGAAATTATTCGATTGATAAAAATGTTTCAGCGAGATAATATTATTATGACTACCTACACAGGACCGGATTAATCCATATAGAGGTCTAAGGGCCCTTTCTAATAAACAGGTAGGTATCATTTGGATTTTATATGAATATAAACACATGTCTACTTTGCCTATATGAATAATCCGGAACTGTACCTACAGAGTTCACTGAAAGGCGTCTAACGTTCAGATGATAGGCATCAGGCGCGTTAATGTAGGCTCAATAGACGCTTATACTATACATGAATTTGTTTTGTATTGTTATATGGTGATGCATGGTTACTTCACAGAAACAAATTCATCATCTAAACGCAGGACGTCCATCGTGAATGTGAATAGTATATCACTACAAGATTGCCTATCTAAACATATTGCATAGTTACCCGCACAATTCACTATAAAATGCCACCTTTCTTGGCCTTTCTCTACTTACACTACAGAATACGATCACAATTTTAAGTATAAGAAACAGTTCATAATATTTTATATTTAGTAAAAGTAAATTTTATATCCTCAACCGTTTCTAAAAAATGCACATGTTTTTGGATTATTTTATTTATTGCTATTTTATGTAGAGGTATTATTATTGTATTTTAATTACATGAACACATTTCGTGGATGCGCTAATATTAAAAATATTAAATCGTAATAATTTATCGCAACCCTATAAGATCACAAACTCGTTACTATCCTTAAGACGTTATGATGGAAGATTTATCATCAAAACACATACCGCTTTTAGAATATTAAATGTAAATAAAGGTCGAAATCAAAATTATTAGCATTCTTTAGTATTATTGTCCTACCAGAAATAGAATATTGTTATTGAAAAATATGGGACATACATTCGAATGATAAATAATGAATCACATCATCAAGAGAACGAATTCCAAAACATTTTATTTAATAAACTATTATTTTGACAGAAGAAAAGTACTTTAAACAAATTAGTATGAAACCACGATGAAAGTAAATTCTTTTAATTATTATTTATTACAATTAAAATTGCAATCAAATTAAAATCAGCTGATAATCAATTGGATCACAATGAACATTAGGATCCGACGATGATGATGACGGAGCTCAATTGGATTATGTTATGCAGTATAAAATGTCCATAATGTCCATTATTTCATGCAATAACTAGTTCCAATTAATTTCAACAACATACAAATAGACACAGTGACAAAAAGTAGAGATGACATTAAAATTGCTTTGAAAATTTCTCGATTCACATTTTCATGAAAAAAAAAATCGCCAGACATTGCTATCAACGTGATATGTGTAATAAAAAAAAAATGTCATACGAGTAAAATCAGTCATCGTCAACTGAATTGCAAATACAATGTATTATATTTTTTAACAAATCTATTTAATAACCGGGTTATAAATAGTCAATATATTCTCTTGATAAGTTAATGATAACTCAATACAATCACATTAAATGCGTTCATACACTTGTCTTAAGGACTTAGTCCTTAGCATCATTATTATCAAAAGTTGTTCAGATAAGATTATTCAAGATATACCTACTTAGGTATAGTATGATATAGCGTCATCCACGTGGCAAATTATACGGTCAATGACCCCGATTTCGATTACTCCGTACGTTAAGTTAGTATTTCAAGTATTCATATTTTATTTTAATCACAATGTTGCAAACATATTAATTATGACAAATCGTCATAGTCGTAGAATACTGTCGGATCTTTATATGTAATCTTTGTCAGATTCGTCAGTATTCTACGACTATGACGAAATATGTTACCGAATAATATTGTACTTTAAAGTAATATATATATACAATTATATCATGAAAGATATCTATAAAATTATAGATAAAAATAATATGTATATTATTGGCAAAAGAGCGGTCAAAATAATCTACTAAGCTTTGTTTTGTGAATAAATAAAATTCATTTATCTAGCGTTCTCTATAATCTATATACCGTTGATTATTAAAACATATCAAACCTAAAATCTAGTGTGCAATTTGAGAAATCTGGAAGCAATTTAAGACGACTACGAAACCAGTCTTATGCACATACGTACATAAGCACATACACGAATTATTACCATGAAAATACTGTAGGTATAACATTCTGAGCACAACTGAGAATTGGGTGATGAGTGGCAGCAGTATCAGACAATGGTATTCAGATCGCTCCTTAAATAAAATAAAATTTTGTTTTACGGCCTATTAAAACAGTAGTTGATTTTAAACTTTCGCGTTGTTTACACATATTTTAAATACACTATCGGGTCTTAACGCGATAAAAAAAGTTTTTTTTGTAGGTTTTTTTTACACAACTTAGGTAAACAGTACTTACATATTTCTTTATTGCCGACGTTTCAACGTGGCTTGCACTACGTGGCCACGACAGGACGAAAAAATTTTCATCGCATTAAGTCCCTTTAGCGAAATTTAAAATATTAATAAAACAAGTATTCTATCTAAGGCCACTTCCACATTTGTCGGTACATTATATTTTTAAATAAATTTTTGCGGTATCTATCGGCAGGAAACACAGACGCAAGATAAAGAACTTGTAACGAGTTGGCATAGAGTTTATTGGGTGAAATGATAATGTACCAATTAGTCAGGAAATGGTCTAACAGAATCAATGTACCATTTTATATTATCGTTATTGAATAATGTTTAATAATTACTGTATTTAATTTATGACAAAAGTAACAGTCCTTTATAAAGTTTCAGTGAAGTGTTATCATTTTCCTATTGATAGCATAATATTTAATATAATAATTGCGTAAAGAGTAATTGATTGTCATACATCGGATTGTTTGAGAATCAATTACGCTGATTTAATTTCAAATTAAAATTGTTCCATAGACATTACCACCACATTATAATTTAAAACTATAACAGAAATATAAACCTCATTGCACTAGCACTATTTGCTTATTTATTAGGAATTACAAAACACAAGTTACCCTGATGATAATTTGGTTAAAAAAAATAATACAAAATAGTCATATAACTGTCATATAAAACTCCTGTCTGTTAAAAAAGGAATAATTAAAATCGTAACATATACATACAAACAATATGTACAGTTTCAAATCAGTTGACAAAAAAATGTACGGTCGTGTTTCAATGGATCGGATGGAAAACAATTTACTTAGATAGGGCAATGACTGAAACTGCAGAGAGATTTCTCATCCAGTAATTAGGTATATCGAACTGTTCACTTTGCAACTGGTACAGATTATATATTACGCAAATATGTAATTATTATCAAATTTTCGACCCTATACGTCTTGTAGACTTCAATATTCAACGCAAATAACTTGTAGTACTCTCATAGTAAACTGTCAACAATTTTCATTTGGTTCTAACCAATTTACACCTACATTATTATATGTGAAACTTATTTATTAAACTTAGTTGACACTATGCTGGTATTTTAGTCAAGCAATTTGTATATATTATAAGAAACATGTGGCTTCGTCTTTATTTTCTGTTACTATTACTCGTGTCAATATAATTCGAATTAGATAAGTTACAATAATTATAAGGGTAAAATATAACTTTATTAGTAATAATGTTATAATCATATACTTTCTATCCAAATTTATTTATATTGTAACTAATATTTCAAATAAGAAAATAAGCAGTGATAACAACGTTATCAGTGATAGCAAATAAAGTTATACATTCATTGAACGCTTCACTGAGGTCTGGATATTTATTTATATTTATTTAAATTTTAGTGTTTAAATATAAAAATAAATGTATATATGGCGGACTGAATAATGGCCTTTACCAGTCAACCATTGAGCAAACAGAGAATTAAATATAGTAAGATCGAATTGGACTTAATCTCTGAATTTTTCAAATTCATGTCTGGATTAATAAAAAAAAATGTTTAATAAGCCACATTAGAAGCTTTTGTGAATAATGAAGGAGTCTAGAAACAATTGATACTAGAGGGCGCCACCCTCACATAAATAGTAGTAATAATATTACCGAACCGACTGAATTGCAACACAGAATTCATAATACATTGGTATGCTAATAAGAATGCATTACAATTCTTGACTAAAATACTACGCAATGCAAGAGAGGCTTTAACATATGCTAAAACTCCGAAAACTGCAAACGTATTCTTAAGTATTTATATTTGTACCATCTCTACATAGGTATATTGTATCTGAGTAATGTACACTTGGTAAAATCAGACCTTTCAACTCCCTTAGAAAAATGTAATGAGTTATGTTTGTGATATTTAGCGTTTAAATATATAAAATTAATAATTTTCCTATGCGATTTATAAGAGAATCTTAAGAGCTTTATGTAAATAATGTACATGGTAACAAAGGAATTACTTGTGTATCATTCACATAATTACACAAATCGTAATTTTTGTTAAGAAAATATTTGCAAACTAATATTTCGTGATCGGTGAAAGCGAGATTGTGAGATGGACGACAATTCAATGTGAATTTTTTTCCTTAAATGTGCAAATCTGAACCCTATTTGTACCGCACGAGTCGTATCTATACCAAATATACCTATGCATGTATAAGTACGCAAATAAATAAATAACACTTTATTTCACAGCCGGACTGATCGAGTAGCCACATTGGAATTCCTAGACTCTTATAAATTCCTTCTCAGTGGATAGTTGACAAGTGTTAAACAAAAGCATACTCTCACTATATAGTTTATCATAGTCTGTGTGGTCACAAAATGGTTTGTGATGACATTTTCACACCGATACTGTTTAATTTGTATTCTTACAAAAATTGGTCCTTCGAGCCGGACTGCGATTCCTCTTTAGATCATTTCATAGTTATTCTACTAATCCGCACTCTAAGGCTTCTAAGTTCCACGTGACACCCCTACCTTGAGCTCCGTTACCAGAATTCGAGCACATGGACTCGGATCTTGATCCCATATTTCGTTGTCTGCAGAGATATGGTGTAACTGTGGGTGATGATGTGTTGTGCTCCTGTAAATGTAATAAGAGACCCTTTAAAAGAACGATAGATGAGGTGTAAGATGATGAATAATTCTAAGCGATTAAATGGTTAGTAGTTGACATAAGAGCTAATGAAACTAGCACATGTACACTGAAACCCTAAGCGAGTATTACAACACTAGAGGCACGATCTGGAACTTAGCAACACTAATAAAATTATACGATAATATAATATAGTATGCTATGCTCCTGAAATGAAGGTAGCTTACAACACATCACCGGATTACTTACAAGTCTAGTCGGATATTACTGCGCCACATAATACATTGCTGGTTTTTAATGAACAATCACAGCAGAGGTGTACGGTACGTGCTATGGATGGTGTCTGGGCTCGGCGCAGTAAGATACGGCTGCATATGTGGTAATATGAAGTTCTAATTAAAAATAAATATAGTGCATATTATATTGATTAGTTAATAAATATATACCAGTATGATCATAATAAACTGTGTATTAATGAATGATTATTTTAATATTCAATAATTAGACTATAACAAGAGGAGCTGCTTTACTATTAAAATTACGAAATGTAATCGATTTGCAAAAAATGTCATCTAACTGGAATCGATAATAAGTTAGATATCTATTCTAATATAGATATCCGGTCTAGTATTTATTAAAACTTGTTCCTGTATAAAATGCTAACTACAAAGAATAGAGTTTACCTTATGCATAAAAGAAGAGTCTGAAGCAATTGCTTGGGTCTTCAAAAAGCAATTTTTATCACAAAGGTCGAAGTAATTTCCATGTTATTCATATAGCGTGCATTGTGATCGATCAAATAGATTGCATTGAACTTCACAAAACTTGTTTTGCTATCAAATGTGAAGTGTATCACATTATAAAGAAATCATATGAAGGCGTCACTGTTTGTTTACGATGAAATGCCATACGATATAATGTAGATATATGTGATCCAAAAAATTTGAATTATTTATCTGTATATAGTATGTATGACATTATTACGGAAAAAGTCAAAAATATTCTATCACCTGTACTTTTATATAATGCACATTCAATAACAGAACTAGGAGTAGGTAATGTATGGTATAATATGTTATTTAATTTATAATTTCGAAACGAAGAATCCGATCGAAATGAATATAGACATTGGTATGGGCGATATCAAAATGGGTGAGAACCTTTTTTCGTCATTAATGCCCAGAAAAATCTAATATATAGATTTTGGAGCGGTACCGATATTACCCATGCCTAAACACGATTAGATTTCCAACTTGTAGTTTTTGTGTGATAGAAACAAGAAGTTCTCATTTAGCATTTTGAATTTTGGATATCTCATATTCGATCACAAATAAACAGTTAAATGTATTTGGGCAAAATTTTACATATTTTTCTCGGTCCCTAATGATAATTTATTACATAAGTTAGCATAAATATACTTTATAATATTAGGTGATGTAGTCGCGATTTTTTTTTTAATTAAATGTTTTAAAACATTGCATACATATCTAAATACATTAAAAACGCTGGCTGCATTTATTAACTGTTTTTATGAAATGCAATAGGTGTTATCAATAGTTGAATATCCAAGTTCAAGTATACTAACGTGGTATATCAAGGTAAGCAATTAATCAACAGTTACCCAAACACAAGGCCAATCTTTATTGCATAATATAGATGTTATAAGGAAATTTAAAAAATCAAGGTCAGCGATCTATTGGAATGCAAATAATATAATCGATTTTCCGATAAAAAGATAGATAAGATATTTTTACACAGTAGAATTATTATAGACACGTGACAACATTCAAATTGGGCTTGGAAATATTAAATATAAGTAGCGTATTTTGAGCATCTCTGCATTTCCCATGGGTTAGTTGATATTACTAGTAGCATTAAGCTCGTCTGTTGTGCAAATTTTTTGGTAAATAAAGTATAATAAATAAATAAATGCATACATATAATACCATTAAGTGCGGATCGGCTAACAAGAGCGTGTCAGAAGCGAAGAATGAATACATGCCTTACTAATATAAAAGGCTGGATTTTTTACAAAAATAATACATATATATTGTTCTAGTGAAACATAGGCTACACAGAAAAGAACTATACACATATATAGTTCCGGCCTATATAACTTATACAACAAAAAAATTAAATATGCGCTAAATATGCTAACTCTTACAGTTAATGTCGGGAAAAATAAACATTGAAATAGTATGCAGTATAAAATAAAGGTTTTTAAAAAAATTCTTAGTAAGCATTAAGTAATTCTGCACTTATAATAATTAACTAAAACCCTGACGGAATTAAACTCAACTGAAAGATTAAACATTTTACTATTTTTTTTTTTAAGATTTACATAACTAATGCAAATAAATTATATTCCAATATAAACAATAAATAAATACCCATGATTTATACTCTATTCGTGTAAAAAATACTATTCAACAACAAGAGTTCGTAGTGTAAACTAATATCACATCACAAAATGCGCTTGGTACAGTCTGACAAGTATCTGAAGTGGACGTTACAGAGATGAGGGCGCTGCTGTGCTTTTGATGTCTCTTTTTAAAATCTTGCTTTGTCACTATATGAATGGAGTTTCACTAGGTACCATATTGGGGCCATTGGTTCACATTAATCAATATGTGAGCGCGTTCAAATAGATAACTTGGAGCACTATGATGTCAACTGTCGTTAATCTTCAATGTTGCGGACACAGGTAGCGCCACTGATGCGTCCACGTTCAATGATACCATCTCCTTGAAAAAGATTACCGAACCCTTATCGTTTCTAAAGTGAAAAACTGCAATTGAAAATAAATATAAAGCTGCAAGTCTCGTATTGGAATAAAACGCAAGAGACGGAATAAAGTCACTGATATACAACGTTTGTTAGTTAGACCCATGGCTAGTAATAAGTGTGAATATTATGTATGACTTACGTTACGTATATCAGGGTCTTTATATAAAATAACAATATAGATTAGTTGTGCAAAAGAATTGAAAATATAAAGCATTGTGAGCAAAAAATAATATAATGAAGTCATTTAATTTTCCAACTCAAATGATGTTCCTCTTAAGTTTTTTCTTGTAAAATTATCAAGAGCAAGTCTCAAACGGATTACGATCACACAATTTTATTTATCCTAAGGCAGCTAGTATACTGATAGTTAATTTCGACGCTTGAACAAATAAAAAAAAAGAAATTCAATGAGCAGTGATAATAGGATACAGTCGTAACACGTTGATAAGCTACAACGATATATTTACACTACACTCAAGCAGCTAAAATTATAGGATCTTGCTTGACTTCACACTTTTTGTGGGAAAGAAACAATGAAAATTTTGTCTCTTCATATAATTATGTCTGATCTTATCTTATTTTACGTATGACACGTACCAAAACTTGTGTTAATAAAAAAAAAGAAACGCCGGAACAGATTAGACAATTGAATAAACGTCATACTCGGGAACTGTCATCCACTTGAGGACTGGTGTGTTTAGGTTGTTTCTACTAATTTCACCTTCTTTATTACATTGACGTTGCTGATTACTGTACGTTGTTGGTTACTGTATTTACCCCAAAAAATATAACTTCAATATTCTTTAAAAGAATAACACTAGTAAAGAGTTAAATGTATCTTTTATGAAAAACTGGCAAAACTAATTTCTTTGAGACTTTTAATTACTTTTCATAATAGTGACAGAATTGAAATGAATTAGAGACGTGATTGTGTAGCTTGACATAGCTTTTCCTCTATTATGGGTCAATTTTAAGTAACTATTTATCAATTATAGTAATCTTTATAAGTTAATCTCCAGCGTTAACAGAATTACAGTAATAAATATTCTTTAGATTGTGAGCCAATAAATGATAATCATTTAATTATTCGGTTTTTAACAATTTTTTTTAATCTATCTGTCACCAGCCCCTTTTTTTTGGTTATAATCGTCTATAAATGATTCACTTATAATTTAACCAGGCAAGTTATTTTCAAACGGAACGCATCACTACTTGTGTCTAAAAGTTTCAGAGTTAGGTTGTTGACATGATATTGGAGTCTTTACTTGCATGTCACACATGATTTATTTATTTCCTCACTCACAGTTGAGATATCTAAATATTTTTGTACTACATTCTTTCTAGTAAACCATGGTGCATATAATACAAATATATTTAATACAAAAAGTAATATTTAAAGCAAATTTTAGTTTGTACCTTTTTACATGAATGATATTTGTCGAAGTAACTCATAAACGTGATTAATGTATATCCTGTAATCAGTAAAATGAAAAAAAAAAGAAGAATCGGAAATAATTTATCAAGGAACTTAGAGGAACATAATTTTTGTAAGGAATCTACTCAGTAAATAATTAAGCTTTTTTTTTATATACGAGTAAATTTAATAATACTGGTAAGACTACATGGATACCGTGATTATAATGGTTTGGCATTCAATACCTTCGAAGCGAGCAAAATCAATGTTGACTACTTTTTTAAATAATTGTTTTTTTTTTTTAAATATAATGTATCAAATATAAAATTTGAATTAATATAATACAAGATATGGTTAAAAATTGCTGTAGAATTCTTTTTCTATTCGCTAATTTTTATAAATATTGTGTAACTTTAAAACTTAATAGTACAAAGACATTTAATATGCAATAAAAATATGTAAATGCTCATAATTTTTTGTTATAATTTAATTTGTATACTTTGTTTTATAAAAATGTATATCAATTAAAACAGACCAAATATGAAAAAAAAAACAAATCTAATTTTGATTAAAAATAAAAAACCTATTGCAAAGGTAAAATTTTAAATAAACGGAACGAATATATTAGTTAATACCTTTTTCCACATTTATTTATATGTTAATATCTATACAATTAAATCTATTTTGTTAGTAAAAAATATATTAAAAAAAAGAACACATTCGAAATGACCACAAAAAAAAAAGAAATTTAATATCTTTTTACTGATACATAATTCAGATCAGAGACAGAACGTGTGAAATGGAACATGTGTACTTAAATGGGAAGGATTGATACCGACTGGTGATAGATTAGTATATCTACACTATGAGGAAAGAAACGTATTTTTGTGCCCTATATTTTAACCGTTTACGATGTAATATAGAGTAGTGCAATTATATTGTTCAAGTATGTATAGTTCGAGGACAACAATGGTATTGATTCGATACACTATGAAATTATTACTATTCATTATATAGGAATAGCGCTTTTTCTTTATAGTCTTAGATTTTATATTATACTATGATAATACGCATGAGTAGGATAAAAACTTATCAAAAATGTCAAACATTACGCTGTGGTAAATTTTAAGACAATTGCTTAAATTTGAATCATTATCTTGTGCATAATGGAATATTTAGGAAAAAATGATAGGAGGGGTTTTAACAAGATTGAATTAGATGCCAAAACAACAAATTTTAGAATTATTTTTTTCTCATTGCAGATTTATTTCGACGTCATGCAAAATCTACTGTACCAAATAGAATGACGGTTTTTATTATTGTGCTCTTGAAAGTCGAAGTCAAATTGTGGTGTATGTTTTATTACTTACTTCCAAAATCCACGCGTACGAAGTACGGATATAAACTAGTATGTAATCTATATATTTATATTGCTAATCGAAAAAGTTTGCATCAATTCAATTATTTTCTTTTTTCAAATATACGTTTAAATTCGAGGAGTGTTTTTGAAAATAAAAAATGTCCGAAAAAAGTAAAAACTCTACTTTTCTTTTTCCTATACAATCATATATTGAAGTTAAACACATCTTTTGACAATACAACGTCTGTCCAGTTAGCTAGTAAATATATATATATATATATACTTGTGATCATTTCGAATGGTGTGTATATTTGTATAACTAACCTGCTGGTTGGGCCCGCAGCAGGTCGCGTTGTGACAGAGGTCGTTGGGAGGACAGTGGAGAGCACACGGCGCTTCTGCTGATGCACCGCTCGTTATCTGTTCATTAACAACAATTGTTAGTGATCGATAATCACAAATGTCGATTGATAAAAAGTCACAAAAAAAGACATAATATATATATATATATATATCTTTTTTGTGGTAATCACCATATATATACATACATATATATATATAATGTCGCTAAAAGGAAAAACATTCCATTCATACAAATAGTTTGCTAGAATCTTGAATTCTTTATAATTTCTTTTTATTAATTTATTTTTCTAATAGTTCTTCACTACCAATCACATTAAGTATAATTATTCTGTGAAACTTCACATGATCCCTTTGCTCAGCATAGTTTACACTTAACAAATCTAAACTTTAGAAAGAGATAAAATGTTAGTTATAATAAAAAAAGTATGTAAAAATAGTGGCACATACCTCATTACCACCCAAAGGCATTTCGATGAACTCTGGCTGTATCGTGGTGGAGTGGATCCCTTCGTTATGGAAGAATTCTTTCACCTTCTCAGCGATCTTCATGTACTCTGACAGGTTTTGACACCTAAAATATTAGCATTATTTATTAGTTAATATATCGCCATATGGCTCCGCATAGAATTTGCCATCACTTCGCTCTTAAAACATCACCAAAGCCTAGCTGCGGTTGCCAACCCGCCTGCTAAGCGTGACAACTACTGGCAAAATTCTCCCAATAAAGGGAGGCATACGTTCAGTAGTGGACAGTAACGGCTAATAATATTTTTTTTTATACAACTTAGAATGGCAAACTAGCTGACGGTCCACTTGATGGAAAGTAGTAACCGTTGCCTATAGACATGAGCAGTATCATGGACATAACAGAGTATACTGTTTCGCCCATGATACGCCCATGCGTTGCCATTTCTGAGGACTCAGGTGTTATTCCTCTGTACCCTGTAAATTCACGCCATATCCCATCCTTCAAACCGAAACACAGCCATGCAAACACAGCTGCTTCACGGTTGAAACACGAATGGGACAGAGGTACCCAAGCAATCGACTTTTGTACAAAGTCTCCCTCTGGTACATGATATTATTTTTTATCAAATCGGTTCGATAATGATAGGGGAACGTCGTCCATGGCTTTTCTTATTATTTTTACCGTCATTGGGATACTAATATATAAGATTTTGTCATTTTCAACCAACTTTATAAAGAAGGAGGTTCTTAATTCAGTTATATCTTTTTTATGTTTGTTACCTCATAACTTCATCAGTTACAAATCGATTTGGAAAGTTCTTTTTTTATCTGAGTGGATATGATATGATGAACGGAATACTCTCATAGTAATTTTATCAAAATCGCTTAAATATTTTAGTTCAAAAATCAATAACTGGTTTTGTCATAACTGAAATCAGTTTTTTATGTAACACAATCTTAAATTATATCGAATGTATATTACTATGTGAATAAAAAAATAAAATATTAATTGTGAATATAATCCGTAAATAAAGTTATTCCATTTATCCAACTACGTTATTATACGCAAAAATATTTAAAAGCAATCATTACGTCACAGTATCATAAATAAATCATAACTACGAGTATCTAAATATTTCTTGTCACCTAATATAATATTATATTTTTATTTTCCTCATAAATGTACTTTAAAAGCAATATAAAAACTTTACATATATTTTTCCACAATAACAAATACAATAGGTACTAATATAGTTAGTATATTACCATAATAATATAATTCCGTGTAAGACGATATCTGTACATGGAAAATATTTAAGAAAAATTAATATGAGGGGTCAATAGAAGTCAAAACAATCATTTTTATAAACTTTGTATTTCTGTCTGTATATATTATTGTACCGATATCATACAAAAACTACTGTACCACATTGGATGCGATTTTTACAGTTGTATTTCTGAAAATCGAACTTAAAAACTGGTATTTCTTTTATCTTGATACTCTATCTCCATTGTATTTGCTATTTCTGAAATCCACCCGTACGAAGTAGCGGGCAAAAAAATTAGTATATTATATATTACTAGCTGATTCGGCAAATGTTGTGTTATATAATTTTTTTTCTGGCCCTAATCACCTAGCGGTTTGAAATATACATTACGACCTATTCTTATGGGGGGGGGGGGGGGGAAAGGGATTGTTCGTAATGCCGACTACCAGTCGCATCGTTAGCAATATACCTAGTCAGATGAACTTCAGAAGGCCCCCTGGGAACTATCGTGCTGAATTCAAGGTGTATTAATCACGATGGGCTCACTGACCTGCCTTTTCATTCTCATCTATAATCCCTCACTGGTTTCCTGCCAGCGAATACTATCAGCGTACGCGGGATTACCATTCCATTATCATTCATTTAAAAAAAGACTTATTCTCATATCTACCAAATACACATAAAAAAAAAAAAATATCGGACGAGCCGTTTCGGAGCAGTGTGACCACAAACACCGTGACACGTTATTGTTATATATAGATATAATAATATACAATAGTATGGTAATATCTTATCGAGTACGTGTGAGCTTATTATTCTGATAATGTGATATTACACAAGTGATCATCTCCATAACGTATGTATCTTAAACAAAGGTACATTTATCACATTGTTATTTCAACATTAGCATAAGTGCTGTTCAGGCGTCAAAATATACAGCCGAGATAAGATACACTGTTGATATAATAACGTACATAATTTCGAGTTGGGACTTGCAAGAAAGTACAAACTCTCCTTGTTTATATATTAACAGTTAATTGACTTTGTTAGATCAATGCACCGCCGTTTACTCTCTCTCTCTGTTTAGCGTAACGGTTGATTGGTAGAGTAATGCTATCAGGCATCAAGTCCGTCCTGTAGACAGATGTATTACTCAGAGGTGACACAACTGTTAAATTGCTTATCAAAGGTAAAGAATGTTCTTTTCTATCGATAGATTGAAACCCGCCTACATTTTAAACGACTACACCATACCTAACAACCAAGACACGAACAATCGAAAATTTGACAAATAATTAATCATGATAGTTTCCAGGGAAATCGCGTGGAAGTTGATCTGATAGGGTACATTGCTAGCGATGGGTATTATGTCATCATTACTAACATTTCTCCCCTCGTGTAGTGTATTACTGTATCTGTTCAAACTTCAAACATTTCATTTATTCAATAAATATTACTTTACATTACCTACTGAAACAACACTTCAGTTTTTAGGATTGGCAACGTGTGTCTAACAAACTTATGGCGCCGCACAGTGGGAACTCGCCTAAGAAAGCCATCTCAAAAATACTTTTTCCAAAACTCCGTGGATATGCATGTATAATACCTCAAATTGTAGCTAAAGAGTTACTCTATCATCATAAGTATGATTCAAATGTGTCACTATTCATACTTCATAGAACAGAGCATCTAAAGTCAAGGAATGAAAAACATGCAAAAATAATTATGTAACTTAAATTTCGTTTGGTATAATTTTATAGTATCAAAACAATAGAAGTCATATAGTGTGATACCATTTTAGAATGCTTAGAATGTGTACTTTACTATAAAATAAAAATATATTTAGTTTAGTACAATATTACTTAACCAAAGATCCATATATCGTTATATGTATTATTTTCTTTTCTCAAACTTTCAGTTGGAGATTTGACAGTTGCCGAAGCTTGCCGAAGTTCTGATTTTGGTTTAATTTATTAGGAAATATAATGTAATTTGAGGGCAAAAGATTTTTTTTTGCAGTTTTACTGCGTAATATATTTAAATCTAGTATAATATCATGGTGAGAATGTTTTTTTCTAAGTACGTATATTAAGATTTTTTTCTTTATTTGAGATTCTCTGTCTGGACACTCAAAAAATACTTTTGTCTCAATTATTACTTTATATTTTATTTTTTGCGTTACTTTTATCAAGTATTTCACACAGTATTTAGTTCCCATTTCCATACAGACCTATTCTTTACCGCATAACCGCATAATGATGAATTTTTTAAATCAAGTAATTTTTCACACGTCTATGATCATTATTAAGTATAAAATAGTGCATTTACATATGAAATATTACAGTTCTTTATAAGCATTTGTCATTTCTGAACAATTGTTAATTACTTATCTCTCCGCAATGAGTGAAGTCTCGTGTACCGGACGCGACTTAAGTCTCTTATTGTTGAAAGTGATACAAATTATATTGATTCTATCTCGAACTATGTACGAAATAATATTACCGAGTCTTCAGATGCGAATATAGCAAAAATTATCGCAAGTATTTAGAAGTCCTTCATAACTCAGTTTCGTCAACGCTATACGAAATGTGGTTGAAAGAATAAACAGTTTTTAAATCAAAATAGCAATTGGTTTAATGTCATTTTCACTGTAAATCTAGAAAAAACTACATGCGAACCTGAACTTTCTACTTCGACAGAGAAAAGAGGAAGACCTTCTAAAAGATACGATGACAGTTCAGAGAGTACAAAGAAACGGAAAAACAAGGGACTGCTTGATACTTGTGGACTTGATTTCATACTGAACTCATATGTACAGGGTTTAAGGTCACGTGGTGAAGTAGATGAAGCATTCATCGTTGATATTTTACGAGCATGGCCGTCAGAAAAAAAGAGTGAAATACGCAGTAATCTTCTTAATGAACCGGCACATATAACAGCATATTCAAAAGATGAAGATCTTAGCATTTTTGTAGAATTGGATCTGAACAAGGCACAGTATGAAAATATGATTAGTTGTTTGATAGCAAAGAATTGCTTATTGTTTCCATTATACAAGTTGATTCGTGAAGTTACAGAATCTTGCTATCCGCCAAAATCACCAGGTGTTGATTCATTGTGAAAGTGTAATACGTTACTTTTCTGTCTTGCTTCTTGGGCAACTTTCAGAAAATGCTCAAGAGTCACGGAACAAAGACTATAAACAGTTCAAGCTTCATCATGCAAGACAATGTTCGAGGGTACTCACTAACGAAGATATTCTACACGCACTTTTATATACCTCTGACCCATACATAACAAGTTTAAGAAAACCTTCCAATAAAAAATATTTAGAACTTTTTGATGAAGTAAAGGAGCTCTTGAGTGACTTCTAAGTTATCTTTATAAGAGTTTTTGTTTTTTACGCAGATACTTTTACTTATTCCTGTATAAATTTCTTAGGACATAAATGTAAGTCTACAAATTTTATATTTCTTGTATTCCTATATTATTTATAACTATTAGAAATAAATTTTTACTCACAAAGCATACATAATTTAAAAGCATATATATTTAAGATTATCAGGAAAAAAAATCATGTACATATCTTTATTAATACGGAAGTTATAGATTTATGAGATGAAAAGGAGTCAAAGTTCCCACTGTGCGCCGTCGTGTCTATAGGCATTCTATTATGTCTATAGGTTTCTATCTACTATAAAGAAAAGCGCCAATTTATTTTGTCATTTGCAATAAATTGTAGAATAATAATAATTTCTAATAGATTTATATCACTATTTAGGTTAATTTGTTTACATTGAAACTAGTCTTGACAACCAATGCTGCTTGTCAAGGT